TTTCCTGAAAATAGAAATCAAAATGAAGTGACTTTAGCCTCACAATGTATCAAGCTGGTGGCTTACACCTACAAGAGAGAATCACTTCCTGAAACTTTGAGATAAAAAGCCGAGTGTATAGACCTCTGTGCTATTCTGGTTTCTTGAACAAATTGATTATCATCATTGTCCATAAGGCAGGAGCTTGCAACTAACCTGCTTGACTGCCCTGTCCACTAGACAATGAGAGTGGCCCAGGTGGGTGACTGGTTGTTGTGATGCAAATAACAGCACGCTGGACACTCCCAGATCGGCTGGGCACTGCCTTGTGCCACGGTGAACTTCCTGGATCAGAGCCATTCAACCAAGCAGAGGACAGTGCATCCAGCTGACAAGCAACGCTTCTTCTCTAAGCTGGAATTCCACTTAGGAAGCATCAGAGCAGAATCCCATTCAGAAGTCTGTGAATTGCATCCCAACCACACCCTCTAATGTCTCGGCCCCTCTGCTTCCATGCTTCATTCACTCAGCCTCAGGACAGAGCACACATATGCACACATACGCATACACATCCAGGAAGAAGGCAGAGAGAGCAGTGGGTGTGGGAGAAGCAGAAACGAGGAGAAGAGGGAAGGTAGGCAGAGAGTCAGATAGAGAAGGAACGAGCTGAAGTTGAAAGCAGGGAAGAAAGGCAACACTGAGCAGGCCTCCAGGAGATCCAAAGGCGGGAGAAGGGAGGGGAAGAAGCAAAAGAAGGAAGAGGAGAGAAGAAAAGCAGAAGAGGAGGGAAACAAAGGGACAAAAAGGGCAAGAGGTGGGAGTGCGAGAGAAGCAAGCAGAGGTGGATGGGCAAGGGGGAGGCGGAGGAAGAGGAGAGCAGGGTGGGTAGGCATGACCCTCGGGAGCCAGGGAGTTCACAGCCGGTCCCCTTCCCCCGTGGCAGCTCCTCTGGGCAGCACATGGGTGATCTTGGATCACAGCTCATTTAGGACTTCCTGTTTTCAGTTTGTCTTTGTGAATGCTTGGAGGGGTTTCCAGCCAACAAATCAAGCCCCATGCCAAGTCGCCCTGCCCAAGCCAGCAGCCATTTCTCCAGCTGCTGTCCTTAACGCCCTCTCACCCCACCTACCCTCTGGGGCCTGCCCACTCTCCCAGGCCCCACCCAGACTCCACAACACTTGCCCCTTTTCTGGAGTTCTCCAGGACTCCTGCTGGGAGCCAGGGCCCTCCGAGAGGGTAGTACCAAGCCCAAGCACCTACCGAGAGCTTCACCTCATAAAAAATCAGCATTCCAGAGGCACGCGGCCCTTACCTGTTTCTGAACCGCACCCCCCCCCCTAGTTTTCCTCCTGCTTTCTCCTCCCCTTCCCAAATTACAGCTTTCTTATATTCACTCCAGCAAGCACATCTGAAGCACTTGCAGTGTGTAGAACACATTACAGGGAGTGAGATAATTGTCCTTAAAAAGCACATAGTCTCATGGGAAGATAGGTATGGCTAGATGGATGCAGATATTTGGAACAGGGATTTTTGGAGCCTATTTGGGAGGTTTTGGGTAAAGAAAACAACAGAAAATGATAAGGAGCGTCTGGTCGGGGCTCTGAGACTCTGGGACAGCCAATGGAAGAGAGACCTGGGTTCTGATGTGCTACTTTGGAGAAGGGAAAGATGGCAGACCTCCCCCGATACCACTTAGACTAAAGCAGGAAAGGAGGAGGCTACCAAAGGGAGGCTAGGCTGAAGCTCATGAATTAGTCTGCTCTGTCTGCATGTCATCTCTTCACTTTCCTTTGTCCACCCTGTGAAAGAATGCATGATGCACTATTGGGCTTCTTTAACACTTGAGACAAAGTCCAGCTGCCAGAACTCACACTTACAATGGCTTAAATCAGCTGAGACTTTGGCTCCCACCCATGGTCTGGGCAAAAGCAGCCCAGGCCTGGTCTGAGACTTCCTTGGTTTCTGGAACCCAGACTTCTTCCAGCTTGTTTATCCTCCACCCTGAGGTATTGTCCTCAGCCTCAAGGCCAAAGATGTTCCACATTTCACTCAAGGGAAAGGGGGCCTTTCCCTTCCCTGGAAAGTTCAAGTCTTTCTTCTACTCACATCCCATTGGCCAAAGCATGATCACGTGGCCACAGAGAGATGCCAGGGTGATGGGGAAGCGAACTGGTCATCAGATGCTTTGTGACTGAGAGGAAGAGGGAAATGGATGCTGTGGACAACTTGTACCTGCAAGGAAGCCGACGCTGCATGTGCTGTGCTGGAAACCCAAGATATGGATGCTGTAGTGCCTCCCAAAACCACCAGTGAATGACAAATCAGTGAATGAGACAAACCAACCTTGCGAGATCTCACCCACATTCTTTTATTTTGGCAACTGAAACTCCCTCTACCAGCATCCAAATGTTGGCCAAGGATGCAACCCCAGGACTGTCAAAAGAACATGAAAGGAAGAAGAGGTAACATAAACTGTGAAAAAGTTACCAGAAAGACAAGAGACCTGGAAGAGATGGACAGTACAGAAGTCAACCTCCAGAAAGTTCACTGGAAAACTACAGAGGGCTAAGGCAGGAGGTCAAAGCAACTTTATAGTCTTGGGCAAAGTTGAGCTTGGCCAAACTCCTTTCCATGGAATGGTGGGGAATGAAATCTAAAAAGACTGACTTAGGGGATGGGATATCCACAGAGGCCAGGAGCAGACAGAAGCTGATGGTCAGGGAGGTAAAAATGGTGGAACAAAGAACCAATGACAACTAAGTGATTGAAAACACACTGCAGAAATATAGTTGGGGCTGCTCTAACAAACACCAAACTGATGGTCGTGTGAACAACATTAGGACGGGTTTCTCTGTAAGAAGTCCTCTAAAAGGCTGAGTGTACACAGTCCAGGGCTTGGGGGTTAAGGTGTCCAGGGCTTGGGGGTTGAGGTGTCCAGGGCTTGGGGGTTGAGGTGTCCAGGGCTAGGGGTTTGGGGTGTCACAGTGTTGGGGATACAGATCATGTTACTACCCAACCCTTCTCACCATGTGGCTTTCATCTCCTGGTCCTCTCTGCCTACTCATGCTCAACGCATCATGTCCACATCCCAACCAGAGGACAGAGGGAAAAGAAGATGACCTGCACTTTCACGTCCCCACCAAGCAGTTGTTCACATCATATCCATGTTCATTTCATGTTCATATTCATATCATGTTCGTATCCACTCAGCCTTCCTTGGCCAGAAATTGGAGACTTTATCACACCTACCCATAAGGGAGACTAGAACGGCATAAGCTTGAGGAAGGCGACCAGGAGTACAGCTTAAACTGAGGGGTCTCATTCCTCAAGAAGTGGGCATAGTCAGCCATCGTAGCTTAAAAGCCTGGCACCAAGGGAGGAGCCAAGCCCTACACCGCAGCTTGGGAGCAGAAGTAGGCTTTATGCAGAGCTCCAAGGGAGGAGGAGCCAGGGAACTCTTGCACAGGTGCCTCACCTACTCTGCAGAGTAGGACCTAGAGTTGCCAGAAAGGCCAGGACTCCTGGAGGGCTGGAAGAGAGAGGGCTTGCTGGGTCTCCCTCCAGCCATTGCTCAGTCTGTTACCATCAGACAACAGTGATAGATCAGGAGCCCATTCGAAGCAAAGCTGTGCCTTTGGGGTCTCAAGTGCATTTTCCAGCTCTGTGCTTAGCTGCTTAACGCCCTAGAGAAGTCAAGAAGGCAAAGTTTCTCCATCCAGGCTAAGGGCCACAGGAGAACTGCAAAGAACTTTGCAGGCTGTGGTGCTGGTGCCAGTGAGAGTGGGCTTGGTGGTGGGAGGGATGCAGGCAGGGAAGTGCCGGGAGAGAGCTTGTGAAGTGAGAGGGTGGCACCTGGAGGATCAACCTTCCTACCCCACTGCTTCCCATCCCCGAGAGGGTGTGGGCTGTGCCAGAGTCTGGCATGGTGTCAGCACTGCCTTGATGTAGGGGATGAGGGTGGCCAGGAAGAGTAACCCCTTTTGAAATATCAGGGCCCCACAGCCAGCAGGAGGGGCAGCCGCCCAGCTGTCCACAGCCGCAGGGAGACCGCCTCTGTTCTGTCCTGAGATCACTATCACAAAGCTTGGCCTCGTCCCCTGCACTTGGCCTTGTAAGCTTTCCTGGGGCCTCACCCTGACCTCAAGACACCACCCCATGTTCCTGGCCTTAGCCCAATAAGCAGCGTGAGTTTCTCCCCTCTCCCTACCCCTGGAACCTTTGGTCCATACACACACACACACACACACACACACACTCATACACTACATACAAGCATAAGCTCCACAAACTGCATACCCCACAAGCAACACAACACGCAACAAACACACCACCCAGGCATCCAATGTACCACATACACACACACACACTCCACATGAACACCACAAGACATCAGTCACGTGCAGGCCTATCTTACACATAATCTGCCACACTCGGAACACATCCTAATCTCTCTGCACCTCAAATCATACCCCTCCCTTCAGTTCTCTATACAACTGCTTAAGTGATTTTTCTAAAACATGAATGCAACTACTTTTCAGTTTAAATTTTTTCAGTGACTTTCTAGAATCTTCAGAACACAATTCTAGTTCTCTCTCAGAACCATCAGGGCCCTGCACGACCTGCTCTCCCTGACTCCCCCTGCCCAGCCGTCCCCACCCTCTCCCCCTCAGCCAGGGGGAACCTCCATCCCTTTCCTACAGGTCATAGTGCCCCCCCCCCACAGCATGGCCCCCATAGCACTCCAGAGAATAACCTGCTCTTTGGACTGTCTGCAAGGTGTGTTCATCCTCCCAACCCCCACCAGAGGTCTCTCCCCAGGTGGAGTGGTTCCCTTCCTCTCTCTTACCTTGTCCAGGTACCTAGTGGGCAATTAGCCTCCTGTGCCTATCTCCCTCCTGCCCCACAGAACAGGTGATCTTCTCACAGGCCTTGTCCCTGGAGATGGAGCTGCCACTCCTGGCATCAGGTAGGTGCACACAGTGAGTGCTTGGTGATGGCACTCACCCTCTCATCTCCCACAGATCAAAGTGGAAAACCAACATGACTATCAGGACATCACCAGTGTGGTGGCCATGGCCAAGACCTATGCCACCACTGAGGCCTTCATCGACTCCAAGTACGACATCCGAATCCAGAAGATCGGTTCCAACTACAAGGCTTACATGTGAGTCTTGAAATATGGGACAGACAGGTATGGTGGGAGAAGGGCATGGGAGGGACAGAGATGGCAGGCTCAAGTGTCCTGGCCTGGCCTTCTCCACCCAAGGGTCATGCCTCTCCTGGTTCCTCTCAATTCTCTATGGGTCTTGTCTCAGCCTTCTTCTCCAGCCAATGCAGCTTAGGGCTGTTCTGTCTTAACTTCTCCCAGAGAATTGTTCTCTCTGGCTAAACAAGGGCAGGTTCCTTCAGAGAAAGAAAGATGAACGCCATGTTTGGGGGAACTGCAAGAACATACTGGATGCCTATATTCAGAGTCAAGGCTGAAAGAGAAATTGAAGCCAAATCAAGGAGGGCTTTGAATGCCTTGGGTGAAGGGCTGGGCTTCTCTTCCAGGCAGAGGTGGGGTGGTGTAATCTGCACGGGGACTACACGAAGTTCATGGAAATTGGAATTAAAGGATACGTTTGAAGAAAGCATTTGGCCTACATCCCACCTCAAAGTACTTTGGGCCAAATCCCAACTCTGCTTCAGATTCCGGTCTCCAGTGTCTTACCGATGTGCATGCTGAGAGGCAGCAGGTGTTGGCTCAGGTGGTTGGGACTCTGGCACATCCATGGGAGATCTGGATTGAGTTCCTGCATCCCAGATTCTACCTGGCCCAGCCTCAGCTACTACAAGGATTTAGAAACTAATCCAGTAGATGAGACCTCTCTCTCTCTCTCTCTCTCTCTCTCTCTCTCTCTCTCTCTCTCTCTCTCTCCATTCAGTTCTCTTAATATACACATTTATTATGTTACCAAAAATCTTGAAATTCATATATAGTTTTTTTGCATAATACACTGGCACTATTGAAGACCCCTAGGGCCTATAAAAATGATGAGTCTGAGGCCATCAGCTGCAAAGGGCTATCTACAGGACCCAGTTAGGAAGTTACACCAGCTATCTATGGCTGAAAATAACAGAAACCACGCCTGACTAACTTGCCAGTGTTCTTAGGGGAATATATTAGAAACTTGTAGGTGATCAGAAACTTAAAACAAAAATTCCATTGAATTATCAATTCTGGAAATAGTAGGATCCAGGGAAGCCCCAGGAATCTGGATAGGCAGAAATAATAACCGATTTCAGCAGAAGTGTGGCATCTAGAGGAAAAGGAATGAATGCCAGGTAGCAAACACAGCCCACCTTGATGGGTTAGCTAAGGTGAGGTATCCTGGGACTGCAGCTGTAAGAATGAACATGAATCCTAGAACAGCTGCGAGGTTCCAGGCTTTGCAGCAATCTGATCTGCCCCATGACATCTCTGCCTCTCACACTGGGAGGATTGAGTTGGTGTCACTTTAAATGATGATATCCTTGGCAGCTGACACTGCCTGGTTAGCATGCATTTAGGGAGCACTGACTGTGTACAAGGCTCCATATTTAAGGACTGCCTTAAATATGATTCCTGGCAGTTGAAGCCTTCCCTGTCAGTGTGCTTACATGTGGCACAGCATGCATCCTAGACCAGGGCAGGCCAACACCAGCTCACTCACCAAATCTAGCTGCCACCTGATTCTGTCAGAACAGCCATGCACAGCCATTTATGTGTGGTCCACGGCTGGTTTTGCCCCACCTGGATTTCCTAAAACGAGCCAGAGGGTCATTTGCAAACTGTACTGTCTCAAGCAAGTGGGATCTGTCAGGAGACGGGCAGGTGACCTAGAAAGAAATATTCCCAGGTTTCCAGGATGGAGCCAGCTCTCAGAGGAGAATGCTGCCCTGTCTCTTGTCTCCCCTTGCCTCCCCTGGGCAAGGCCAGAGCCAGCGCCACCCTCAGATGCCCCTAAAAAGCTCCCCTCCTCCCTGTTGTTCACCACATGCCCCCAAGGTCCCCTGCTGTCCACCATGCACTCCCAAGGCCCACCCCCATCCACCGTGTGCTTCCAAGGCTCCTCCACTGTCCACCATGCACTCCCAAGGCCCCCCGCTGTCCACCGTGACATCACCGTCCTCCTCTCATCACTGTTCATGCTTCCACTAGACTTAGGCGACGTCTCGTCCCCATTGCCTTTCTTAAGCATGACCTCACTGCTGTCGCCTTTATGTCTTGCATCCCACGCCTGACAGCTCCAATGTGTCATTTGTCACCGCGTTTCCTGGATCCCTGCATTGGCCCACATCCAAGAAAAGAGGTCCGGGTCAGACCTCAGTGGAGAATGTCCCCCCTGCCCTGACCATTCAACCCGCTCTCGGGCCCACTTCCGCCCTGCACGTAGGCCTTCTGCTGGTTGCTACAGGGCTGCCATTGTTCCAGGTCTTCTTCGCAGACACAGAGAGGAAGTCACATGTGTTTCTCACCCGTTTAGACAAACACATCCTTAGGTATTTCTCTGCATATGCAGAAACATCCATGTCAAGCTAAATCGTGTCACACAGATGGCTTCAGTTTGCATCCAGTACCTCAATGCTTCTTCTTTAAGAATTTTTATTTAAGGGGCCCAGCCGCGTGGCCTAGCGGCTAAAGATTTTTTTATTTAAAAGGAAGAGTTACAAAGAGAGGAAGACAGAGAGCTTCCCAAATGGTCACAATGGCTGGGTTGGGTAGGAGCTTCTTCTGGGTCTCCCATGTAGGTGCAGGGGCCCAGGGACTTGGATCATCTTTCACTGCTTGCTCAGATCATCAACAGGGAGTTGGATTCAAAGTGGAACAGCCAGGACTCAAACTAGAATTTATATGGGATCCCAGGTTGTAGGTGGAAGATTAGCTTGCTATGCCATGCCACTGGTCCCTTATGGTTTCTTTTACCCCCTCCTGAATGTATCCCTATAATCCCCTACTCCAACAGGAGCCACCATCCATTGACTTATTTGTTCAATCCCAGTGCTTGTGGGCAGCTTCAAAATCCTGAATTCTTAGCTCTAGGGCAACTATGGTCCAATGCTTGCCTTTAGTCATCTGTCTCCACTCAGGTCCAAAGTTATTCAGGTCAGCCCCATTCCCCTCCATCCCCAGGCCTTCAGAGAGCTCTAGTCATGCACCTGTCCTACCATGATCTGAATCTTTGTGTCCCTCCCAGAATGCTTGTGTTGAAATCGGAGCCCCTCTGTCCCCTGCCCCAAGATGACAGAACTAGGATCGCTGAAAGGTTCTTAAACAAGAGGAGGAGGAACCCCTCTACCATCTGAGGACCCAGCACCACCTGTGAACCAGAAAACAGGTTTGCACCTGCCAGTGACTCTTTTGGCACCTTAATCTTGAACTTTACGGCATTAAGAACTGTGAGAAATAAGTGTGTGGTTGTTCAAAAGCCACTAAGCCCGTGGCATTTCCTGACAGCATCCTGAAGACACTAAGACAATGTGTCACATGGTCACAGTCTGTGTTCTCTCCTGTATTCCACCTGCTGCCTCACATTCAAACCCAAGACACTTAGAATGCTAGGAACAGAGTCAGGTCTGTCCTCTGCCCCTAGGCCTTCTCCTTCACCGGGGTGCTAAAGCAGCCATCACCCATGAGAGGAATGGCACTGAGCATCAGGGTGGGGGTACAACAGAGAAGGAGGGCTGGACAGAGGACTGAGCGAGGTAAAAACAGAGGCAGTGCTTGCGTGGGGTGACAGAAGCAGATGTGGGGCTGAGGAGGAAGGGCAGCAGAGCACAGTTATGGAGGCTGGTTGCTGCTGGAGCAGAAGAGGCAGAGGGACAGAGAAGGTCAAGAGGCAGGCGAGGTCTCCCCACGGAAGTTCCTGCTCTTCCCTGTACAAGAGACGGCCTGGGGGCAGCACTGGGACGCAATAGGTGAAGATGCCACTTGAGATTCTGGCTTCCCAATTGGAGTGCTGGTTCAAGTCCCAGCTACTCCACTTCCAATTCAGTTCCCTGTTCATGTGCCTAGGAAAGCAGCAGAAGATGGCCCAAATGTTTGGGCCCCTTGCCACCCAAAAACAGGTGATGTGGCCACTGAGCCACATGGGGATTGAATCAAGGACGAAGATCTCGTGTGTGTGTGTGTGTGTGTGTGTGTGTGTGTGTGTGTGTGTGTGTGTGTACGCACACGCCTGCAAGGGTGCATTTTCATCCTACTTCCCTTCTCCCTGAGGATGGTTTGTCCTACATTTAAGGGCCCTCAGAAAATTCTGCAATCACTAAGGGCCACACTTGCCCTAGCTCATCTCAAAAACAGGACAAAGTTTGGTGAATTTTATCTGCTGATGTAGGCATTTTTTGTTTGTTTGTTTGTTTAAGATTTATTTATTTTTATTGGAAAGGTAGGTTTACAGAGAGAAGTAGAAAGAGAAAGATCTTCCATCTGCTGGTTCACTTTCCAAATGGCTGCAACAGCCGGAGCTGAGCTGAGCTGACCTGAAGCCAGGAGCCAGGAGCTTCAGGGTCTCCCATGTGGGTGCAAGGTCCCAAGGCTTTGGGCCATCCTCAACTTCTTTCCCAGGCCACAAACAGGGAGCTGGAAGGGAAGTGGAGCAGCTGGGACATGAACTGGCACCCATATGGGACCCCAGTGCTTGCATAGCAGAGGATTAGTCAATCAAGCCATCATACCAGAGCCTGGTGTAGCATTTTTTTAATGAGCTTTTTAGATTTCAAACATAGCTTAAGATACAAGACGTGAGATCCAACAAAAAAAATAAGGCAATCATCAGGAAAGGGAATAAAAACAGAAAATCAAGCTGATGACAAGAGTGTTCCTAAGAGTACTGTTACACATAGCTTCAGTCCAATGTTTCAGTCAAAACCTCCTAGCAGCCAGTGCAAAGAAGGAGAGCAGATTCAAGGACAGGCATGCCTCATGTCCTCAGTGCGTTGTTTGTTCTGACACAGGAGAACCTCCATCTCTGGAAACTGGAAGGCCAATACAGGCTCTGCCATGCTGGAGCAGGTGGCCATGACCGAGAGGTAAGCAACAAAGAAGGGACAGGAAAAAGCAGCAGCCGTGGTGGAAGCCAGCGGGCGAGCCACCCCAAGGAGCCATGTGCCCACTCCTCACCAACCCCAGGCCTGATCTTGTCTGCTGTCCACATAGCCTGCCCGATGGGCTACAACAGCCACCACTTACAGGTGGGAGAAGGGGTTCTGAGATGGGGGAGGGTCGCACGGCAGACTGGGGACAGAACTGAGTCCTTGGGTGATTCTAGCCTTGCCTGCACCGCTCCAGGAAGAGAGAGATGGGATCCCTCACCAGTCCTTTCTGTTTTCTGACCCCTGTGTGCTCAGACCTCCATCCACCTCACTAGGAATAGGGACAGGAGGATTTGCCTTGAATCACATCGGTGCGCCAGCTGAATGTCCCGCAGGCCTTCCTCCCTGTTGGCCTCGCTGTGTGCCTTCCTCAGTCACCAGCTCTCAGGCCATTCTTTTCTGTATGCCTGGTGACCTGGGCTGGCAAGCATGCAATCATGCACACAGGGTGCAGCCTTTGGGGTTAGAAATCTCTGTTCAGTAAACTACAAAGGCCAGGGTTAAAAGATCCAGTGCTGTCCTCTAAACATCCTGATCAGTTACACGTTAAACAGATGTATGCAAAAAGTAGGGGCTTACTGGCACTGTGTTGCTGAAAACTCCAGAGGCCCGGCCTCAGGTAGGGGTTGCGTACTCCCCTATCCATCTCAGCCAGCTTCCTTCTGCATGATGCCTCATATGATGGCCCCTTAGTACCCCATGTTAACATGCTCCCAGCTACAGTGCCAATAAGCAAACTCTTCCCATCCCTCTCAGAACCAAAGCCTGGAAAGAAGCCTTATTCACTAATTGGTCAAGCCCGAGTCACGTCATCATCCCTGAACTAATCAGAATGGCCCAGAAGGCTGCACTGCTGTGATTGGCTAGGCCTACATCAAGTCTCTGCCCCTGCATAGTAATAACAGCTGAATGAGACTCTGGGAGAGAAAAACACCCAGGAGTGTGAAGAAGGCTTTACTAGAAAGGAAAAATCAATGCAAAGCAGACTAAAATAGCAGCCGCCATTGCCTAGCTCCCCAGCTAGGGCAGGAAACAAAGAGACAATTCCAGTGTGGTGTGGGAATGAAAGGGTGACAGCAAGAGCCTCGTGCCTGCAGGGGGTCACAGAGAAGGGGTATCCAAGGCAGAGGAGGGAGGGCTGAGGTCGGGGGAGGCTTCCTGGAGGAGGTGGTGCCAGAATGAAGAGGAGGGGAGAGGAGCAGGCATTCGCGTCGTCTCTTCGGCAACTATTTGATGGGCACCAACTGCAAGGCAGTCACTGAGCAAGATCCTGGGGAAACCAAAGCAAATGAGAGAGCCAGAGGCCCTGCCCTCCAAGGACTCCCAGTTCAGCAGCTCTGAGCTGGGGAAGCAGCGCGAACAGAAGTGCCCGCTGTGACCCTGCCTGAGCTCACTAAACCGCTGACCATCTCGAGGGGTACAGCGTAGGCAGTGATCCTCAAGTCAGAACGCTATCGTAAGGCCTGACTAGCAGAGGAGTATGCAGCAGCTGATACAAAAGAGCTGCAGCAGGGAGATGCACCTTCCCTTCCATCATCCCAAGGGCAGCTGGGAAAGCCCTTCCTGCTAACAGGTGCCGTGCAGGCAGTGCATGTGGCTTGCAGCCACTCTGTCCCTCGCCATGGGCATTCACGGAACATGCCCCATGCTTTTTGCCACTGCCTCTCTAAGAATGTGGGCCTAGCCTTCTCCTGAGCTTCTCAAGCTGCTCCCAAGCTGCTCACAGATGCCCCCCGCAGGCTGTACTTATCCCTTGGCCTCGTGGGTCATTCCAGCAGGCACACACCCATAGCACACATGTGGCTTGGTCATAGCGGGTCCCACCCCACTGGAGAGCAGCAAGGGCCCAGTGTCTCTGTCCTGGTGGTCATTCTAACCTTGACCCTGGGTGCCTGTCTGGAGGTCCCTCTAGCTTTGACCCAGGGCACCTGCCCTAGGCGGTTCAGCCAGCAATGCTGGCAGATGCCCATCACTTGAAAGCAGCAGTGCTTCTCAGGGTCTGGATCCAGACTTTCAGAGAAAAACCCTGACCGGGAGTAAGTCAGGGTGCACTTGCATCACCTCGCAAGCAGCCACTGGCGCCCAGTTCAGAGCTCCGACCAGAGACTTGAAGCCACTCTCAGAACTCGGGAATCTGATGTTGCCCCAGCTACTGTCGTCCCCAGGTATCACATGGGATGCTTTTGACAAACTAGAGAATATTCTAATAGAGCAGAGCCCCCAGACCAGGCACTTCTGTGTTTCCTGAATTCTGTAAAGATAGGACATGCAGACACAATCAGATGTGGTCTTCCCATTTTGTGGATAAAGAAACTAAGGGTACACAGAGGAGCAAAAGAGGCTCCCATGAGTTTCTTCACGGAATTCATAGCAAGGATGCAGCAAGATCCGAGTCTCCTGGCCTCTGTTACTGCCTTGCTGTGTGACCTGGGCAAGACAACCTCTCTGGGTCTCGGTGGGCCTTGCTGGCTGCGAGGAGAGAGAGCTTCAGCTACTGTGCCTCCTCATTCCAGGCTACACGGCTCAGAGACACAAATAGATCTGAGAGCGGGCTGTGCCCTGGGTGACCCTGGAAAGTGGGGGAGAGAGAGAGCAAGAGCACAGACACAGAGTCCCCTGTGACTCCCGCAGCCAGCCCACGAGGGCAGCCGAGTGCAAGCTGGGAAGATCTCTCCAGAGACAACCAAACCCTTGTTGCAAGGTCAAAGTCCAGGGTTGAGAACTGTCCCCGGCAAAGCAAACTGGCTTTGCAGCCTTCGAGTGGCTGGAAAAGGAACAAAAGCTGCAGGTCCAGAGGGCCAGGCCCTCGGGGCCAGGCGGGAGCTGCCTGCCAGGCTCCCTGGCCTGCCCCTGGCCTGCCCCTGCCCCTGCCCCTACCCCTGGGCAGGCAGGCGCAGGAGAATACACCCTTTGTCCCTGGAGGCTCTGGTCTGGCTGGAGGCTCTGCAGCGGGGAGCATGTCTGCGAGGGAACCCAAGAGCAGCTTTCCCAAGGGAAAAGGATCTGGATGGCTGTGGGTGGGGGCAGGGCAGCTCCCCAACCCTGTGCAGCGGGCCAGGTCCCAGGACTGGCCAGCTGGCATCCCTGAGCTCCCCACCCCGCGACACCTGTGCTTTCCCACCCTCGCACTCCCTCGTTCTCTGTGTCCAGTGACCCTCTGTCCTTTTAGCTGGCCTCTACCTCCCCCACTCCTCCATCACATCTCTGGCGGCTTTGTGTTGTTGTCTGGTGCCACCTGTGTCTCTCCCCGTCTCCATCTCGCCCCTCTGCATCTCTCTGCCTGTGCCCCAGCCCAGGCAGTGTGTCCATCCCTCCCTACAGGTACCGGCTGTGGGTGGACAGCTGCTCAGAAATGTTCGGCGGCCTGGACATCTGCGCCGTCAAGGCAGTCCACAGCAAAGATGGCCGAGATTACATCATCGAGGTGAGCGCATGCGCAGCGAGAGAGCCGGGGCACACACAACCCAAACCTCAGGGGCCCTTACCCCACCACCACCTTCACACCTGCTCCTTCCACCTTGCTGGTGGTCCTCAACTGGACCTCCAGGGCACTGGGGCTCCGCAGTTCAGGCATAAGCGTAGCTCTGAGGAGACCTGCGGGTCAGACATAAGCATGGCTCTGAGGAGACTGGCACGACCGCCACAGTAGCCCGGTGTGTGGATGGCAAGAAGAAATGTGACGGAAAAGGGATGTATGACAGGTGTTGAGGAGTCCCAGGGGACAAAGCAAGTGGAGGGAGAGCTGCAGGACAACATAATAAAACGGCCAGGAGGGGTAGGGCACCCAGATTCCAGCACCTGCAGCTCCGTCTCCCTCACGTTTCTCACACTCCCCCACCCCACACTTCCTTCCGGGCCCCCAACTCCCACACCTCATCATCTTCGTGGTCTTCGCTGCTTTCCTTAGAAAATGCCCAGTGGCCCGAGCTCTCCCTGTCTGTCCAGTGTCACAGCACCGTCTTCCCCAACACACACACACACACACACACACACACACACACACACACACACGCCATCCCTTCCAGCTCACTCCTTCCATGAGCACTCACTCCTTAAACCACAACCGAGGGGTGGTGCTGACACCAGGCCAGGGCAGGCCAGGGGGAGCCCTGTGGCTGCCGCCCCCTCCCCACAGGGGTGTGGGCGGCTAATGGGATGCACATGGCTGGTGTGACCACAGGAGCCAGCCAGCCCTCCAGTCCCTCGCGTCTGTCCTGCTCCCCGGAGACCCGTGGTACAGGCAGCAGCAGAACCAGGTGACTCAGTGGCTGGGATCCCAGTCCTGCCCAGGGAGTGGCTGCTTTGAGGTAGGGGAGAGAGCCCCTCTGGTCACCCTAGAAAGATCAAGAAGCCCCCACAGGATGATATGCATCTCACTAGCCCATGTCTGTTCCCAAGCCAGGTGAGCAGCACTGGGGAGGGAGCTGGGGAGCAGGGGTCCTGCCTGCCAGAGCTCCCTGGACACCCTCCACCCCCACCCCATATACACACCCACATAGCCTTTCTCTCTCATATTGGCCTTTTCTCTGCTTCTCTTTCCTCCACTCGAAGGAAGGAAGGAAGGAAGGAATATTTTAAAAGTCTATATCCATGGGCCCAGGCTCCCTACCATCTAATACTTGGAGGTTCAGGGATAAAAGACCTTTCAAACTTTAGAAAAATCAAGTAAAAGGAGGGAGCTTATACCTCAGAAAAAAAAAAAATGGAGAAAACAAGTTTTCAGAAATGTTCCAGGAAAAAAAGAAAAAAAAAAGATAAGTTTTCAGTGGGTTTTTTTTTTCTCTCCAAAACATTACAGGCTTGTTTCCTTTGCTTTGGGGTTTGGGGTGGGGTCAGGGAGCTTGTGACCAGGAATATAAAAGGTATTTTTCTCCATTAAAAAGAAGAAGAAGACTAGAACAATCCAGAACTCCTGGTTTTCTCTGGCCAAATGTGTATGAAATGCTTTATGCAGATCTTTGCGGTGAACTAGACAGGGGGCGGACCCCTAGGCAGCCCCCCGCCCTGGGGCCTATCCCGGGAATGTCATTGCTCACTGGAAGAAAGCGCTTCCCTGGGGAGAGCCAGTGTCCACTTCCTCCAGCCGTGACCGCAGTGGGGATTCCAGAGTTCTCCGACCTCAGGTTCCTGTGGCGGCTGTTTTCCACACAGCCAATGTGGGAAACAGGGACCAGGATGGAAAGGCGTGGGCAGGAGCAGGGGGGAGGAGGACAGTGCATGCTGGGGACAGAGTCCACAGTTAGCCCAGCCAGTGTTGACCCAGGGTCTGTTCCCTGTACAAGGTACAGGGAGTCCCGCGCAGTCCACCAGGGGCTCAGTGTCAGTTGCAGAACTAGCCTGGCACTAGCACTCGTGTCCTTGAGTTACAGTCCACAGAGACCCCCTAGCGCCCCCAACTGGAAGAGTCCTGGCAGCTGCCTTATGTTTGTAATAGAAAAATAGGTCCCAGACGGCAAGGGCTTTCCCAGACCCGCAGCGCAACCTCAGCCTGGCCCCTGGTTTCCTCCTCCCAGTTCCTACCCCAAGGAGCTGTCTCAGAGCTTTCACAGGCCTGTTGGGACAGAAGGATCGTGGATTGCCTGCAATGTGTCCTTGAACTTGCTACCTGCTTGACCCTCCATGTCTTTATCCTTCTAACAGCGTAAATAGCACCTGTTTCCAAGAGTTCTTGTAAACTTTATATGAGATCATCCTTGGGGATGAGAGCCATGCCCATCACACAGCAGGTACTCCATGACGCCCAGCCCCTTGTATTAACCTTCCGGTCACCAGAAGCAGGGCTTCTTCACCGAAAGGCGCTCTCATTCCTTTGAGCACCAGGTATTTATTGCAGGCACACCTGTTCCCAGAACATGGGGCCCATCCCTGACCTCGGGAGCTCACAGCCTTGTGTGGAGACACAGTAAACAGGAGGTGACAGTGCTAAAGGATAACTCCTCCAAAGCAGCCACCCAAGCAAGGACGGGGAGCACAGGTGCAAGGTTAGCAGTGCTTGCAGTCAGAGAGGGCTTCCTGGAGGAAGGGGTAGGAAACCTATCCCTGAAAGGTGAGAGTTAGCCAGTAAAGTGTATGAGCAGGAAATGGCCTGCCTGCGGTGGAGAACCCCATGGGTCCAGAGCTTGGGGAAAAGGAGAAAAGAAGGTGGCTTGAATGGGGCTGGGTGGGTGAGAGAGAGAGAGGAAGACAGACTGAGCAGATTCACAGATCTGCCGAGGCCTCACGCCTTGAAAAGCACCTTGGTGGTCTGCTATGGGGACTTCCCATCTCCCTGTCTCAGTTTCTCCAACTGCCATAAGAGCAGAAGGGATGAGTCTGATCCCCCAGGCCCTCCTCCACACAGAAGCACTTTGCTGGGTTTGAGAACAGCCCAGCTCCCAGTCGGGTGAATTTCACCCCCAGCCGGGGCCTTAGAAAACAACGCTTTCCTCTCCTCATTTCCCACGGAGCCCTGGGTCAGTTCCAGCCTCTGTCATTTTTGGGGGGTCTTCACTGAGCCCCCCACCTCCACCATTTCCGGCTTTGTGGAAAGCCTTGACCTTGGGCCAAAGGAGAGGAAGTAGGCCTGCAACCCTGGAAGGGAGCAGAGATGGGAAAGGAGGGGGCGGAGACCAGCTCCACAAAGAACGTAGCAAAGGCCAGCAAACGCCCCTTAGCTGCAGGTGTCCCCTTGCAGCCCAGCCTCTGTGGGCGGAACTGAACCAAAGCAAGCCAGTGTAAGAGGACTGAAGGGAGCTGGAGCGGCTAGCTCTATGGAGCCCTAGCTGGAGGGCAGGACTGAGTGGTTTGTATGGAGGACATCGCCATCTAGTGGTCCCTTCTGCCCCCAGCCCTGAGTCGGCGGTAGGTTGAGCTCCCCAAGCTTGTTACAGCAAAGAGGTCCCTCAGCCCTCGCTGTGTCCCAACAGGTGATGGACAGTTCCATGCCCCTGATTGGAGAGCACGTGGAAGAGGACAAACAGCTGATGGCCGACCTTGTCATCTCCAAAATGAGCCACCTGCTGGCGCCAGGGGCCACAGTGCCCTCGCCTCTGAGACCCTGGGTAAGATCCCTGACAGCAAAGGAGATCTGTAGCCAGGGGACCCGTGGGGCTGTCCAGGGGTGGGGAGACAGCTGGAGGAGATGCCCCCAGAGGAGACCACTTTGGGGAAGAAAGGGCCTGAGTGCAGACAGAAGTCTGGGCACAGGGAAGGCTCTCCATGCCCCCCTCCCACCCCAACTAGGAGGGCAAGATCAGGGGTAAACTGGGAGGCTTGTCAGCTGTCCTGCCTCCCCCCCACCACCACCCTGGAGAAAAACATCATGTGGACCACTGTCCCTCCCATGTCCTCTGTCCTAGCTGAGCAGCGTATGTGAGCATGCAAGTGCACACTGCCCTCCGTGTACCCTGAGGCACCAGCCAAGGGAGGCCATTGTGCCTTCTGTTGCCCATTCCCAACCCCCCGAGCTCCCACAGGACTCTTCTCTGCCATGCTCCCCACCAGGGATAATCAGATCCTTCCCCCAAGGAATTGTCCCGCGGCCCCAGCTGCCTGCAGAAGCAGAACTCGGCATGCCTCCCTCCGCCAGGCCCCTGCTTTCCCCACAGATGCTCGTCTGTGAGCACAGGTGTCAGATACGGTTCCACTCCAGGGACTTGCCAGCCAGAGGCTGGAGGCTGGAGCTCCAGGGCAGGCTTCCTCTCTGGACAGGTCCAGGCGTTTGATCTGGTTGGTGACCAAGCACCTGTACAGACACAGGAAGGTACACCTCAGAGAGGGAGCCTGCATGGTTTTGGCTGCCTGCCTGCCTGCTGCCTGCCAGGGTAACATTCAGCCATGGGGAATCAACAGGCTTCTCTCTTCTCCCACCCTAGGCTCCACAGATTAAGCCTGCGAAATCCCCTGGGCAGGCCCAGCTGGGCCCTCAGCTAGGACAGCCCCAGCCACGGCCACCTCCACAAGGTATGACCCAGGACAAGGTACTGAGAACCTGACAAAATGCATGCAAGGAGCCAGTTGTTGAGTCAGGGAGAAGGCATTCCAGAAAAACCCATTTTACCCCTTTATGCACAAAATGAGTCATATTCATTCCACGTGTAGTTTTGTCTCCCATTGAAACCAGAGGAGGAAAAGGGCTGGCGCTGTGTTGTAGAAGGTTAAGCCACCACTTGCAATTCCCTTATGAGCACTGGTTTGAATCCCAGCTGCTCCACTTGTGATCCAGCTCTCTGCTAAGGTGCCTGGGAAGTCAGCGGAAGATGGTCCAAGTACTTGGGGTCCCTGCTACCCACATGGGGGACCTAGACGAAGCTCCTAGCTTCGCCCTAGCCCAGCCCCTGTTGTTGTGGTGATCTGCGAAGTACACTGGCAGATCTTTCTAAATGTGTCTCCCTGTCTCTCTGTGTGACTCTGACTTTCCAATAAATACATCTTAAGAGAGAGGGAGAGAGAGAGGAGAAAGGGAAGACAGCGTGAAGATCCCCTAGGTGCAGACACTGTGACAGGGGCTCGACTCTCTGCTCGTTTTTGTCCTCCCGGCCACTCCACAGCACAGACACCAGCACAGCAGAGATGGAAATGGAGGCACAACAAGGAAATGACAGGTTTACAAATCTGGTGTTTCGGACCTTCTAGAACATGTTTCTTTCTAGCCATAAGTAGTCCCTGATGATAGACTGTGATTTACCCAGCTTGAGGGAGTGAAGAGAGACAAGTGGAAGATTACAGAGAAAACCTTGTCAATTGCTATTCTTTCTCAAAAGGATCCGGGCATTCCCACGTAAATGCCACCATTGTTTCAGACAATGGAGAAGCTGTGGGCGACCAGCTGAGAGCTAAGTGTGTGTCTGCAGCAAAGTCAGCTGCTCTGGGCGCTCTCACACACAGGCCCTGTAGTAGGCACCACCTGCTTCTCCAGGTAACCGTCAAAGCCTGGTGGGCTCCACACTGCTCTAGCCCCACCCCCAGTCAGGGCTGGCTGATTCAAGGCGGTCTTGGAAGGATCCATTAAAATGCCCTTCAGATAAAAGCCGTGACAGTCCCGTCGTGGTCTTCCCAGTCACTTATGAAAGCAACAGAAAAAGCAAGGAGCCTCCAACATTTTCCTCTTCTGCAAGTCTCAGATAAAATGACCAATTACCCAGGTTTCTTTTCCAAAAAAAGGGCAACTGCCCCAAGTGCCTGCCACCAGCTCTGAATGAGCCTCAACTGTCTTTCTTTTGTGCAGGTGAGTTTACAGCCAGCTCCAAGACCTCAGTGCCCACAAGGATGGGGGGCGGTGGTCGGGAGGGCTTGTGCAGGAGATAATTCCAATGAAGCAGTTAGCCAGCAAGGTGCCTGACCCAGCGCAGACTTAGGCACTTCTTGTGACGACTGATGCACTGTTAATAACCGGTCTATGATTGTCACCGCTGATGACTTCTGTCTTACCAACAGTTCTAACCTGCACATGGTCCTTAGTGATTAGAACCACCCCCAGGAGCCCCTCTCCTGCCTGGCGTCATCCTGCAGTTGGCAATGTTGCAGAACTCTATTTATCACCCTCCCATGTTCCTGGCTGTGCCTCCGCCCTGCCCCCTCCCTTCCCGCTCAGCCTCAGGACTTACTTTTTAAAACCACAGTTGACCACAACCTCTTGAAAACAGAGAGCTTCTGTATTCTCATTTCCTCCCTGGCCCAAAAGTAGGAACATGCTTGATAAAGACATATTATATTCAGGGACGCCAGGCTAAACCCACATTTGGTGAGTTGAAAAACAATCAATTCGAAACCAATTAAGGGCATGGAAGAAAATGTAGAGTGAATTAACATTCAGATTAAAAATAACAAGGCTCATTTTAAAATGTCACTTTCATGGAGTCTTCAAATAACAAGCTCCCATTATTAGCTTATTTTGAACTCATTGTTCATTTTCAACTCAGTGAAAGTGAAATTTTCTTTTAACAAAATGTATTTTTTTTTTTGCACCAGACCTGTGCTTAGGCAAAGACTACCTATATGTTAAAAAGGAATGTTTGTTTTATGTGCTTGAATAAATAAGAAATAGTTTGCTTTGCCAAGAAGTTGAAATAACTAAAGCATGCTTCTTGGTGCGCCTAGGGTGTATATTCAGAACTTAAGAGTTAAGGAATTAATGAATGAGTATTTAGATTTGTTTTCAAGATATTATGGTCGGGGAGAGTACATGAGACAAAAGTTAAAAGTATGTGTTTTTGTTGACTGTAGTAAGTTTAAAATACCAACAGTTGCCAATTGGGTGACTTTTACTTGAAATGTAGATTTCCACCATCTCTTGAAAGAGCTCACAAAAAAACAGCACACATGCATCCAACCACATGGCACCTTCTGCTGGCTCCTTGGCCACAGCAAGCATTATCCCACATTCGGCACCATGCTCCTCCCTGTTGTCACTTCCATAGGCAAAGGAAGTCAGCTATTTCTTTTTTTTTTTCCAAGATTTATTATTTACTTATATTGGAAACACAGATTTATAGAGAGGAGAGACTAAGAGAAAGATCTTCCACCAGCTGGTTCACTCCCCAAGTGGCTACAATGGCTGGAGCTGAGTCAATCCAAACCCAGGTGCCAGGAGCCTTTTCCCACGTGAATGCAGGGTCCCAAGTCTTTGGGCCGTCCCCCCAGGCCACAAGCAAGGAGCTGGATAGGAAGTGGAGCAGCTAGGACACAAACCGGTGCCCACATGGGATCCCAGAACATACAAGGTGAAGATTTAGTCACTAGGTCATCATGCTGGGCCCTTACTATTTCTTTATACTTGATTCTCTCCAGAGAACTAGACCTTATCTAAAGCTATGTGACTTCTTTTGCTCACCCATTTGTTTCTTTATATACCTGCCCAGCCTCATCGGTGTCAGAGTTTCAGCTCAGTATATCCTCCGATCGACTGCGACATACAGACTGAAAGGGGGAAGTCACTCAAAGCCTTGGGCCATCAGTAGTTACATGAGTACTGTGATGTGACCCAATTCAGAACATGCCCACAGCAGCACACAGTGTTCCAATGGGGAGGGATATTGGCTGTGCCGTCCAGTAACCTCATTTTGGAAACAGAGTCCAGAATTCTGGAGGAAAGTGACTCATTCACAGTCACACAGTTAAAATGCAAGGCTTGAGCCAGGTTCGGGGTTTCAGGATGCAGTGTAGAGTCGGGTTCACCAGACAGGCAGGTTGGATCTTCCACAAACATGCCCTGATGACAGGATATCTGCTACCTAGTTCTTCCTCCACGAGAGGAAGCCATCTTCCCTTAATCCACACAGACACCAGGACGATCCAAAGAGAAGAGGCAGATTTGAAGGGCAAGACTTCCAAGTCAGAGGTGCAAAATGGAGCCCTGACTATCCCCTGTCTTAGAAATGGCCCCTTGGGCAGCCCACAGGCTACTAGTACTCACTGCCGCTGCCATGCCATGCCCAAAGCGGCTGCAAGGCTTCCCAGTCCCCAGCGAAGGGCGTACTGGGTACTTCCTGGAGACTCACTAGGCGTGCTCCAATGACAGATGGTGGGCTCCCCCTCCTTTAAGCTCTCAGTCTCCAAAGCGTCTAAAGTGTCCCCTGAAGAGCACAGCCAGACCTCACCATGGTGCCTTCGGATTCCACAGGGGCAGGCTTACAGAGGAGGAGGGCAGGCTCACTGGGCAGGAGGGAATGCTGGGCAGCCTGTCTGCCTTGACAAAATGCAATCTAAAGTGGCCAATCCCAATACCAAATGCTTCAGGCTGAGGGCAGCTTGCTTGCTTGCTTGCTCAGGGCCTCAGAATTCCACTCAAAGCCATTCCTAGGGACTCCAGCATCACCAGGCTTATGAAGCCCTTGGCTTGCAGGTAGAAGTGCCTGTGCTCTGTGCAATGGCAGGGAGAAGGCACTACCCCCTTAGGAGCTCTCTGTGGCTCCCCTTCCTGGTGAGGGACCTGTCACAAAGCCCAGCTTCCCCTCTGGGTGACAGTGACACCTTCCCTTACCAGTCTGGTCTACCTTGGTCATGTAAGACGCTGTTTTGGGGATAACACCTTTTGTTGCTCCCAGGGCAATACATCTTAAGTGTCACTGAGCAAAGAAAGAAAAATTAATATCCCTCAAAGTTTCCACATTTTCCCAAGCGTGACTCAGAGCCCTTGTTACTATGTGGGACTACAGTGCTCCCTGGGAACCTGTTAGAAATGCAATCACAAACACTGCCAAAACACTAGACTGGGCAGCTTCAAGCACAGAGGTTAGTATTTTCACTGTTACGGAGGCTGGAAGGTCAGGATCAAGCACCGCAGGCTGTTACTGGCAGCACATCGCTCCCTGACTTACTGCTGACAGCTTCTGGCTGTGCCCTCTCAAGGCCTTTCCTCTGTGCCTGATGTACACACACCCACTCCTGAGGTCTCCTCCCATTCTTACAGGGAAAGCTGCCCCATCAGATCAATTCCCCACCAGTCATAGAACTAGCTGTGTCAATTGGCTTGTTCGTGATTGGAGTTAAAATACCCAAATGGAGCTTCTTGGGAAGGAAAAGGATTGTTTATAGTCTGGAGGTTCTAGCTCAGGATCGTGTGACCCTATAGCCCAGTGTCTGATGGAAGCCAGTCATGGCAGGTGTGGAAGGACCATCACACAGTGAGGCAGGAAGGAGAGAGAGCAGCTGGACAGAACCTGGGCTCCTGTGAGATCCAGCAATCCAGTTGCAGGTCAAGCATATCAGTGACGGAGTGCAACCTTCTAGCCTTTCCTATAGCTCTAATGTGCCAAGATGGAATAAAACTTCATGGGAATCGTGTGATAAACCTTATTTCTCATTACAATACCTAGTTAACCAGGATACCTAGAATCACTGAATTCCTCATTTGTTTCTTATCATGCTGCAGTATCATTCAAAATGACTGTAACATTTTCTCTTCTATGGATGGAGTCCCACATCCCTAGTCACTGTCTTTGTGCTTGGTTAGACATTTACATTGTTTTCTGGTTTCATAAAAAAAAAAATCACGTAATAAATATTTAAGAATGAACTTCACTGTTTATGTTTCCCCGTAGGGAGCCCTCGTCAAGCTCAGTCTCCCCAGCCCCCAAGGTCCAGAAGCCCCTCCCAGCAGAGGCTCTCCCCACAAGGCCAACAGCCACTGAGTCCCCAATCCGGCTCGCCACAGCAGCAGAGGTCGCCAGGCTCCCCGCAGCTAGCCCGAGCGTCAGGTGGTGGCTCCCCAAACCAGACAGCCAAGCCGGGTGCAACCCTCCCCTCGCTGCCCCGGCCCCCGGTGCAGGGCCGCAGCACCTCCCAGCAGGGCGAGGAGCCCAAGAAGGCAGCGCAGCCCCATCCTCATCTCAAGTAAGTGCTTGGCCCATTGGGAAGGGTATGGGAGATGTTGGGGTACAGGCAAACCCCAAGTCAGAACTCAAGAGCACACCCAAGGGAATCTCACTCAAACTTAAACAAGGAGCAGCAGGTCTGCGAGAGGGGATTTTTGTGGGACAGAGCCAGCGTTGTGATGGTATAGATGAGCCCCCATGGAACCCTCCATAAATGCACGTATTTGTTCTTTATAGCTACGTAGCAAGCTGCCCCAAAACTTCACGGCCTAAGGAAGCAACCATTGTCTTTGTGCATAGTCTTTTGACTCAGCAGTCTGCTCTCAGTGTAAGATAGTCTGTGGCCTTAGGATAAAAAGTTCTATATATGTCTACTAAGTCCAGTTGTTCTATTGTTTGTGTGAGCTCTGTTGTTTCTTTGTTGAGTTTTTGTTTCGTAGACCGGTCCATTGTTGTTAGAGGTGTGTTGAGATCGCCCACAAGAATTGTCCGGGTGTCTATGTCTTCCCTTAAGTCTGTAAGTAATTGCTTTACGTAACTAGGTGCATTAAGATTCGGTGCATAAACATTAATGATGGTGATTGCTTCTTGATGGATCATTCCCTTCACCAGTATAAAATGGCCTTCCCTGTCTCTTTTGATGTTAGTTAGAATGAAATCTATCTCGTCTGAAATTAGGATAGCTACCCCAGCTTTTTTTCCTTGTCCATTAGCGTGAAATATCTTTTTCCATCCCTTCACTTTCAGTTTCTTTGCATCCTTTCTGGTTAGATGCGTTTCTTGTAGGCAACAGATGGTTGGGTCTTGTTTGATGATCCATTCTATTAATCTCTGTCTTTTGATTGGTGAATTTAGACCATTTGTGTTGAGAGTTAAAATTGAGAGTTTGCAATTTTGCCTTGCCATGTGATTGTGTTGTGTGTGTGTTGTTGCCTATGTAGTTGTCTTGTTTGTGCAGCTTTTAGTTTGGAGACCTTCTTATTTGCCATCTTTGTTTGTGATTTGCCTCCTTTTTGTCCGGGACTAGCGCATTTCTAAGGAGACTTTGCAGAGCTGGTTTTGTGTAGACATATTCTTCTAGTTTTTCTTTGCTATTGAAGTATCTGATTTCGTTCTCATATACAAATGAGATCTTTGCTGGGTAGATTATTTTTGGTTGACAGTTGTTTTGTTTCAGGACTTGGAAGATCTTTGTCCATTCTCTCCTTGCTTGTAGGGTCTCTTCGGAGAAGTCAGCAGTGATTCTGATGGGTTTTCCCCTGTATGTGATCTTTTCTCTACTTCGTACTTGTCTCAGGATTCCTTCTTTGTCTTCATTGGAGTAGAACCTGAGCACCGTGTGTCTGGGTGAAGATCTCTTTGGGTCATGTCTGTTGGGAGTTCTCTGTCCATCCTGTATGCGGGGTGGATTCGTGTTCCAAGTGTTTTGGAAGTTTTCCTGTATAATTTCATCAAGCACTGCTTGCATCCCAGATTCTCTTTCTACTCCCTCAGGGAGGCCGATGATCCGAATATTCAGTTTTCTAAGGTAATCCTTCATCTCTTGCATCATTTTATTAGTTTTGCTGAGGTTTGTCTCCAGCTGTTTAATTCGCTGGGCACTTTCATTTTGTGTGTCTTCTGTTTCAGAGATCCTTTCCTCTGCCGCATTTATTCTGTTGATGAGGCTTTCAATTTTATTCTCTTGGGCATCCAGTTTGGTTTTGATTTGTTGTATTTCGGTGATTATGCGGTTCTGGTAGTCTTCCAGCTTTGTGTCCACGTCTCTGAGAAATTTTAGCATTATTTTCATCAATTCCTTTGCTGGTAACACGTCCATGTCTTCATCTCGCATCGCCGATATTGATAATGGCTTTTGGCCCATGTTTGGTGGGGTGCTGGCTCTTTCATCTGGAGCACAGCTCTTTCTGGTGGTTTTTCCCATTGCGTTGGTGAATTCTGGTGGGGCAAATGAACCCGTGTGTTGAGGGGCTGTCAGATGCTTTCCTGTAGAGATTGGAGCCTGCAGACGTGGTGTTGTCGAGCGTGGTAATTTTCAAGGCACCGTTGGTGCGTTCTCAGGGCCCGGGGCTGTAGAGCACCACCTTGGGGGCCCAGTGGATTCCAGGCACACTCTGGGCACCTCTTCTACAGGTGTGACACCCCAGGGCGTGGAGGGATGGAGGCGCTCTCTGGGTGTGCCCCCTGCACGGGAATCCGCAGGACTTAGAAGGTTTTATGTGCTTTCTCCTTGCGTTCTCCGTGTCAGGGACTGCAAGGTTTTTCAGAGCCCACCTGGTGCGTCTCCCACACACGGGACTGTGGGTGAGGCACTTTCCAGGCGTGGCTCTTGTGCAGTGAATCCACCACTCGTGGTGTGTGGATGTTCAGAGCCCCTGTTCCTGTGTGGCTCTCTCACACCGGCCCTTAGCGGAGGAGTGGCCCAGGCGCCCTGTTATAATTTCACGGCAGGTTCGCACCGTGTCAGTGTGATGCAGGAGTTTTCAGTGCTCTCCTGGTGGGTCGCCCACGCTCAGAACTGCAGGGTGGGAGGCGAGAGGTGAGCAGTTCACCCTATGGGAGTGGTACCTGCGTGTCGGGGACACACAGCACTACACTTCCCAAAGCTGGGCAGAGCTCTTCTGACACCTGACACCTGCGCTGTGGAGGCGGCTGCTGCAGGCGGGGCCGCCTAGTCCGCTCGGCGCAGCCGCTCGGCGCGGCGACCAGGGTCTTCCTGATGTTATCTCACTTCCACCAGGCAGGATGTGGAGGACTCCAGATCCTCGCCAGCAGCCTCTGCGCACCGAGACGCACTGGCCCCCCCAGTGTAGGAACACCCGAGGCGCCCCCCCGGGGCCCCCTCAGCCACCAACACCACTGCACGCAGTTCCCAAGGCACAAACCCAACAGTTTCAGTCCGTCTGCCCCGCGTTCTCAGAGGCTAAAACCTCGGCAGGGGTCTAGGAATGCGGAGGCTGCCACGTCAACCCCCCCGGCTCACCAAACGTTCGGCCGCTGCAGTCTGCCTCCACCGCTGCCGAAGGCCTCCCGCCGGCGACGATCCGCCCGATCTCCCCGCCTCCGGGCTGTCCGCGTCTCCCGTCAGGCCGTTTTCAAAAGTGACTCAGCAGGTCTGGAGTGGGATGTCGGTTTCTCTACCTTTGCCCTGCTCCGTTCTCGCTGTTCTTCCGAGTTGTGTGGATCTTTTTGGCTCCACACTGTCCCAGGGAGCCTCACGGACCTCTCCCTGCGATTCCCTGCTGTTCCTCTTTGCTGCTTCTGTGACTTTCTATCCCTCTTTCACTGGAGACTCCCTCACAGCCTTCCTCCTACGTCGGCCATCTTCTCTTCTCCCCAGCTGGCAAGTTCTTCTGCTAGTATCTACAAGATAAAATACAGGATGCTCAGTTTGATTTAAATTGCAAGCAATGGACCATTTTGAGTATAAGTACACTCCAAATATTGCTTGGGACATTCTTATATTTTTTTAAAAAAAAGTGGTTTTACATAAAATTCTGATGCAACTGAGTATCCCCTATATCTGGCAGCCTACTCTCCTGAGGTCACTGTAGTGGTCAGGTTATCCAGCAGCGTCACTGACCAAGACGGGCTCATGCATACAGTGTGGTGGTGGTGCCCAGTGTCAGCTGGGCCTCGCTTCCCCCATGGCTCCTCCTCCTCCCCCAGGGCCAAGCAGAACATCCTCACCTGTTGAATTCCTTTCCAAGAGGGCAAAAGTTGAAGCTCACAGGCCACTTGACACCCAGCCCAAGGAAGCTGCCCAGTGTTATTCTAGCACATGTTTTTAATCAAAGCAAGTTGTATGGCAAAGTCCAGATTCAGGAAATAGGAAGACATACTCTAGGTGGGAGGAGCTTCAAAATCCTCATGCCCAAGAGGCAGCCGAGGAGGCAAGAGGAGTTGACATCTTCATTCACAGCACAGCACGTGCGCACACACACACACACACACACACACACACACACACACACACACACACACACACCGTTTGTTCTCAGACCTGTCTCATGGGAGATCAGAAAGGGAGGTCTCAGTCACGTTTTCTCTGGAAAGCTTCCACCTTCCTGCAACCCCAAACACACATCTCTTCAATCATAGTTTCACACCTAATACTTGTTGCCCACTTATTGGGAACCAAATACACACCTAGATGTTTGGTTAGTTTTGTTTTGTTTATTTAAGTTCTTGCAATCGTAGGGGTTAATTCCCATTACACAGATGAACAGAGAGTGAAATGACGTGCTAGTATTTCCACTGTTAGTAAGTGGAAGTGCTGAGACAGAACCCAAGGACCACCCAAGGCAGGGAACATGCTGACATTCTTGCATAAAGGGTGTCTTGAATAGTTGATAGCTACACGTAATTCAAAGATCTAAAGACAGCAACAATATCAAAGCTAGGCATAGAAAGCCTCATTCTTCCCCCATTCCCACCCAAAGGCCTAGTGGTCTGGTCATCACATTAGCAAACGGAAGTCTTCATCCCTCAGTGCCTACAGATGACCGCTTTTGTTATTCCTTGTATCTCCCTTCAGTAATTCCTTTTGCAAATATGAAAATACGTGTATGCTCTGATTCACTCACCCTTTTTCTTACACAAATAGTGACTTCACCATCCATATCAGTCTGTTGTGTTTTGTGTGTGTAACAGTACGGGCTTGGAGCTCTTCCACACTGCTCACTGAGAGCCTCTCCTCTTCATGACTACACAGGATTCCAGTGTGTGGCTGTACTATGATTTATCCAAAAAACCCACTATGAGCAGAAACAGTTTGATCTTCTAAACAATCCTGCCAAGTAACCTTGAACACCTCTTTTTATAATTGCAGGACTCACTGTAGAGAAAACATGCATGAAATGGTATTGTGGATCAAATGTTGGGTGTATTTTTAGTTTGATACATGTTAGCAAATAACATTTCAGGCATAGGGGTCAACAGTACAGATTCCAGAGCCAATTTATTTTGAGTTCAAATCTCAACTCTACCCCTTAACATCTGTGTAACCTCTCTGTGCTGGCATTTTCTCCCAGGCAAACTGATAATGACCCTGGAAGGTGTGTGCATAATTAAGGCTTGGGATGCCACTGGCACTAAGCAGGCGTATCTGTGTATAGCCTGTACCCACGTAGCAAGATCAGCCCAGCTAATCACAAGACACACGGGGCTTTGAGACTTGAGCCAAGCATGGATGCTGAGTCATCGTCGGGTCTGTAGAAACATCTTAGTCTCCTTCCTTACAGCATTAAGGGCTTAGTTCCCCTCAAGTCAGCAGCTTTGAACCAGATCTCTGCTCTGTACCACATCCTGGCAGGGAGTGCAATAAAGTCCATGCTTGGAAGAGGACTTCAGTTTTCTAATACGATGACCAGAACACATGCAGGTGTCTCCCACTTGTGACCCAAGTATATCTGCTCTTCCTGTCACACCCTGTAGACTGTGAATCCCTTGAGGGCAGAGCCTGCATTGTCTTCCTCCCCACCCCTGTCCACCCAGCCCAAGAGGACAGGTGCTGAGAACTGCCCAGAAAACAGTCACTGCAGGGATCATCTTTGAGCTACCCTTGGGAAATGGCACACTGCAGTTCAAAATGGCACAAGAAGAATCCCAAACATGGGATGGGGGAAGACTGGGAAGAGGCCCCAAAGGCTTCAAGGCGGAGGTGGGAGATGAGGCCCCAAGTGTAAGAGTTAAAACAGCAATGGGGGCCAGCTGGAGCAACCCTGCATTTTCAAATGGGCTAGAGGCACAGCAGTGAGTCGCTCACCCAAGGCCACAGGTGTCAGATGGCAGAGTGGGGTCGGAACAGGTGGAGCACATCTTTTCTGCCAAGGGTCATGTAGATATCAATGACATCATTCATGGGCCATACCAAATGATTCTCTTACCAGTGAGCCTGCTCTAGATGTACTAATTGTGAGTGCTGTCTACAGTTGCTCTGGTAAGACCAGACTGAATGACTTCACAGATCTGGATGTTCCCTTCCTGTGAGCCTCTTGATTTCCCCAATTGAGTGCCTGATGAGATAGCATGATCATGACTTGAAGCTGCTTACAATGTGCGTTTGTCCATGCAGGTGGGAGAAGGAGCAAGCTATCTTCCGATCCCACCTGTGCCTGCACAGCCTAGCAAAGCAAGGAGAGTGTGAATTTGGGGCATACCTCATTGTATGCTGTGAGGGCCTGAGCAGATGGCATAACTCTGTGAGCCCTAGCCTGTACCCAAGCCATGGGGACAGATTCAATTATCTTACCACCAGATGTGGAGGTGAGGGACTGGCATCAGGGGTCACTACCAGGTGTTAATATCTGGGCTCACTCGCTGGCCTCCCTGCCCTGTCTTCCCCAAACCCTTACCTTTGTGTTTCAGCAAATCTCAATCCCTGACCAACAGCCTCAGTACCTCCGACACCTCGCAGCGCGGGACTCCCAGTGAAGACGAGGCCAAGGCCGAGACTATCCGCAACTTGAGAAAATCCTTCGCCAGCCTGTTCTCTGACTAACCCACCCAGGTCAGGGGTGGGGATTAGGGGAGGGCCACAGGGCTCAGGTGCACCTGTGCTCTCCTGGCTCGTCCTGCTCCCTAGCCTGCTGGTTCCAGAATGGGGGCTCAGAACACATTTGCTAAATGCCTTTGACCCCGGAACTGATTTGCTACCATTTCTCTTGACCTTGACCATGACATTCCAGTGGCACTGTCTGAGCCTCCAGGTTCCTTGGGACAGCCTCCATCACAGGCATCCCATGGCTCTGCCCACTCTCATGCTTGCTCCCCTGCCTCGGATCACCAAGCGAGACATCTGTGTGTAGCTGCCTGCCACATTTCTGGCTAGGATTTTGCTTCCCTTTGGGTGCAGGCCCAACTCAGACTTTGCCCTACCTGCCTCATGCACAGGCACTTGTGGCCAGACCTCAGTGACAGAGGAGGCAATAATCTTGCCACAGTGTTTCACACACAAAAAGAGACAAGCCCACCTGGAGGACCCTCCCCTGCCCTCCCCTCTTCTGTTCTTGCTAGACTTCCCCCCGGAGCAGGCAGGATAAGTACCCATCACAGCCAGCCCCCAGTGGGAGTCTTGGGACAACAGGAGTCCTATGTAGTGGGTGGGGCCTTTCAGGATACAACCCAAACAGAGAGGGGATCCACCTTGGAGAGGCCACTCACCCAGGGCATTATCGTCAACGAACAGCAGCCAGCAGACTCCAGGTTCTGGTGGGGATCACGACTGGTTCCCAAAAGGATAAGGGGCCCAGAACTTCCCATGAAAAGGGTTAGGTTAGGGCTCCTGTGCACGCTCTGTGTGACATCATTGCTTGGTCCCTCTGGCCTGCCACATAGAGTGTCTCATCTACAGGTACATGTCAGGAACCTGCATGAATCAAGGGGTCAGTGGCCCGGGGTTAGGAAGTGCGACGATAACCATCGGGTTCCATGTTTTGCAGACTGTACAGTGAGGCACAGGTCAAGGATGTCTGGAAGCATGAGGCCTATGTCTTTCGGGACATATGCAGTGCATGACACAGGTCAGGTCTTTGCAGTTTGTGCAGGAAAGAACTCAGTTTTGACTTTATTTCACCCAAACTTATCTGACAAAACAAGTGAACTGCAGAACTGGAAACTGATTTTGACTCCCTTCCCAGGACTCTCCCCCTTACTAGGCAGAGAGCAGCCCACGCAGGGCATCCCAAATCACCAAGCACCAGGTGCTAGGAACATCATAGGTGCCAACAGCATCCTCCTGGTCCTGAAAGATGCCAGGGCATCAGTAACAGCCATGTGACTCAGCCCCTATTTGTCATCTGGAGAAGTCGTCCCCTCACTTATCTTGAAGACCTTTCTAATTAAACCCAGGAGATGCTGATTGCTTGGTAACCAGCTGAGACCTGTCCAGGTTCCTGAAGCATAGACAGCCACCACCTGCTTGGCTCTCCAATCCCAGAAACCCTCTCCTGCTGAGTGATTTAGGTCACTTTGACCTTAGAAGAACCCAGTTGCCAGCTGGTTTCTAACCATTGACTAGAGCCTGGCTCAGGACTCAAAGTGATAGGTTAACACCTGCCCACCCAGCTGTCAGAGATCCACTTGGCACTCAGGATGTCACTCTCTCTCGCCCTCTGCCCTCTGTCATGATCAGGTCTGGAGAAGTTAAGGGTCACTAGTGTAAGTTACACCTGGAGGTGCAGGATTGCGGTGGGGAGAGACCAGTGCACCTGTCTGGTGAGCTTACAGGCATCTCTCTTCTCCCCTGACAACAACAGGTGAGGTGGCCCCAGGGGAAGGATCAAGGATTTCTTTACAAAATCAAGAACAGAGCTGCAGGAGTCAACATTTGGTTTCTCCTACCTTAAAAATACATACATACATAAAGACTCCACTGCTCAGGGCGATGTGTCACAAATCACACTGTGTTACAGCCTGCATGATAGGTGGGAGAAAGCTCCTAGGCCAGGCGACAACTGCACCAAGCCCACGAGCTTTAGAGGAGTCAGAAGACAGGAAATATCTGTGTGGCCTGTACTCCAACAACAGGCTCAGCTGATTCTCAGCTGGGTGTAAAACAGCGCAGACACACCGCTCAGTGACTTGGCCTGGATAAAATCTAAGTGGGCTGTGACCACATGCAGAACCAGTTACAAAGGCCAACAAAGCTTCTTTTCAGACCAAGGGAGGCCCCAAAAGAGTCCCCGAATGGCCCTGAATGCACGTTGAGATCAAAGCAGCAGCCTCAGGCTGATCTGTATGCAAATGAGGAAATAATACTGATATGAATGCATTCAAGCCCCAAACATAGCTAGGGACCAACTCCTTTATGACTCCATGATCAATTCATTCCTCCACTTTCTCCTACTGTGTCCCTCCTTCCTAGAAACATCTCAGCACTCAGACAGTACCTCGCAGATATTCCACCTACAGCAGCACACTCAAACCCTGTCCCAGGCCGGCCAGCCTGACTTTATAACTATGCAGAGTTATGTCTAGATCCATGGCATACGCTAGTTCATAAACAACACACTGAGGAATTTTCCCTTTGCTCTGTGTATGTCTGAGTCTCACAGAGACCCATAGATCTCCAAAATGAATTTTTTTTCACACGCACCAGTACATATTGCTTCCAAAAATCTAACCTTTAATAACTGTGACATTTTGAAAGGGCAGAAAGGGGCGAGAGTCACACTCTGTATAGATTCTGAAGGGTTGTGGAGGTTGTTTTATGCTTTGTTTCTCAACTCTGACCAGAAGAAAGGCTCACATTTACCCTCCACACAACTTGGGGAAGCTGGCATCCAACAAAGCCCTTTGGTCTAAATACAATGAGCAGAGTTTTAAAACACCTCTCCCAGCCAGCAGGACAAAAAATGAAACTTCTTATAGCTCTTCTTCCTACCAGCATGAAAGCAGTACTGCACGTGGGTTCACCAAATATTCTTGAGGACCACACTTGGGTTATATGCAATACCCAGGATACTGTGCTTTGGTTAAAATGTAAGACTCCCTCTGTGTTCTTAGCATCATCATATCCAGCCCCTCCTCACATTCAGTCCCTGTTGGGAAGACAAGGGACTATCTTGCCAAGATGTGAAGGGTGAAGGGGCTTAACCCACGTGGGAGCTGATACAACCTCAAACCCACAAACTTGAACTTGAACTACTTTCGGAACTGGGCTGAACTTGCTGAGTCCGAGGGAAAGCAGGCCATAGCAAGGATCTTGTTCCCAAGCCATCTTGTGTAGAGGATGGTACTCACTGCCTGGCCCCCGCTGAGTATTGTTTGGGAGATGGTCTAGGTGGGTCCTCCCAACAGATGAAATGAATCAAACAGAAACAAAGTGTTAAGACAGAAGCAAAGAATCAGTATAAAGGATTCTCTTGCCCCAGAACAGAATGAACCTAATAAAGAGAGGAGCAACATGAGACAAAGAGGCTGAAGAAAATCAACGGCAGCTTCTGACCTTGAGTCTGAAAGGAGAGGGCAGGAGAAGCAGAAAGGGCACATGAGATCACCCACATGCAGCCATGGCCACAAGCCCGACAGTCACACAGTCGGGATAGGTCAGGGCAGACCACGACAGTTTCCAGGCTGCCATTGCACAGGTCCGGGTCCAAAGAAAGGAAGTAACCTGCTACAAAAAGTCCAAAGTCTTCATAAAGTTTAAAGGTATACTGGGATGGGGCGGAGGGAGGGGGTGGGCGGGGGTTGGGGTAGGACCAGGCATGGGCTTGCCAACACGTTTGAACCCAAATCAACAGCTTTGGCTTCCATTGGCCAGGCAAGATAGACCTTAGTGTACCTCAGAGGCACTCTGGGTACCCCACCCCTTCCTGTACTGGAAACCAGAGAACCCCTTGTACTTTGTTCAATCTAATGAAATAGCCTGGTGGTTTGTCTGACGCACATACAACTAGCAACAGAAGGCGGGTTCGAGTTGCAGGTTGAGCTGGGGCAGCCAGCCTCACAGAGGCCAGTGGGAACAGAGTCTTGCCTAGGAGCACTTCCACACGAGGCTGCCAGAGCTGGCTGGATACTAACCACACTGACAGTTGTTGACACAGTCGCAACTGTAAAGCGGAGGAGGCGAACATGGCTGGGAAACAACATTTTGAATCAGGAAGGTGTTCCCTTTAAGGGAAGCAGATCCAAAACTGCACATCCCTTCCACCAATGTGTGTGTACACATAAATCACTTAGATCATAAATATCTTTTATTCTGATGAGTTTTTTGTTGTTGTTGTTTTTTGGGGTTTTTTTGTGAATGCTCCTAAGTATCTGCTCCCCATGGTCTTTCACTAAAGTGAGCTAGCATTTCCTTGCCACCCCAATAGTACTTTACCTTTTGGCTCTGGAATAGCAGAAAATTAAGCGCTATGACTTATGGGAGAATCCCAAGAGAGAGAGAGAGACAGTCAGTTAAAATTCTTGATTTTCATTGGATAATCTTATCCAATCAATTTTCAGCCAACTGGAGACAAACTAAAGGGGTCTTTGCCCATGCTCACCACCCAGCAGGACACAGGGGCCCGCACCACTATTTCACAGCCTCTGTGTTAGACATCTGCTCAGGTTAAGAGAGGAACAAGACTTGGTGCTGGGCCGCATGTCTGCATGTAGGGAGGGACAGAAGGCATGGCCATCTGCCTCACAACAAGAATCACACACATATTAAGCTAAACAGCGACCTCAGGACTTGCAAAGAGCCAAGCCGAGTTGGAAAGACAATCATTCAACAGAGATTCTATACTGGGAGCTACAAAAACTAAGTTGGAAAGAAAGAATATCTCCTATGATTTGCTTATCAGCTGTCAGATCTTTTATAAATCTGTAATTCATTTCTAACTGGAAGCGACAGACAAGCACTTGTTGATGAAAGGAGGTAAAGGTGCCACTGACAGTCATTAAGGCCGCAAACCTTTGCTGTATGCAGAGCTATCTCTTAGTAAAAAGCTTGCCATGGCTCTCTATACTGTCAGCATCCATGACCGTCCATCAAGCTGATGTGAAAGAATCACGTGGTAAATGGACTACAGCCAAACCATAATATACTCATTATACACCAGCAATACCTAAAGCTCCAGTCACAATACAAGAATGTATACTGTTGGGATCCTGGCTACACTGAGCTATTCAAGAGGGCAAGCTTTGGGTGGGTGGCGGTTCAGAATTTATAATAGTTGCAATAAACTATAGTTTATTATAAAGGTGTGCAAATTTAGGTTTACACCACCAATATCTTAAGCTATAAGAAATGTAACAGCATCAGCCAGAAAGCCTGAGGTGAGGTTGGGAAGCAGTACCTGTATCCACAGCAGGACACCAGCACCATCATGGACCTTCTAAGGAATATTCAACAACACCTGCTTTCTGAGCGCATGGTTGCATAGTATTTGGTGCTTCTGGTCTTGTCCCCCCATGTTCCCCACACACACAGAGCGCAACCTAACATAATGAGACCACAGAGAACACATGACAACTGTGGTCAGTTTGGACCCATCATGGACCCATCCAAGCTTCAGGGCAATCCCATTAGCCATCCCAATCAAAGCCATAGGGCAATCAGTGGACATTTGTTTTTAAAAGGCTGGCCTGTAGTTTCGATGTTATGAAATATTATGGAAGGAAAATGCCAACAGTCCCAACCTTCTACCTATACATTATTAAGCTACTAAAAGTGGCATTGGCCTCTAGAAAACCATGTTATGGACTGAATTTTCTTCACTGTGATGGAAAAGACTCAGCATACATGTGTAGCAAAAAAAAAAAAAAAAATCACTTGTACATATAACTTGAAATAGTCTTGAAGTACATACATTCCAAGCCATTTCCTTATATGCAAACGGTTTTTTAAGAAGCAGGAAGACATTGGCAATATTCCTAACTACTTTCAGCAGATGTTGATGCTGTTCTATTCCTGTGTTGTGATTCTGACCTTAGTTTCTGTCACTCTAGCATGTTTCAAGTTGTTTGTATGACAGGTCATTTGTGTCTGGCCTCTTCCTTGTTGTAGAAAAATAAATCAATCTTGAATTTTATATATTTTGTCTTTTTAAAACTTTTTAATTTTCTCCTTAATATTGTTCACGTAAAGAGGGATACACTCCCATGTGGGCCTTTGATTAGGATGCAGAGGATCAGGTTTGGAAGATGGACAGGGCAGTGTTTCCATTTTTGTGGGTTTTTTTTTTTCTTCTGTGTCTGCAGGGGAAGAGAGGGTGGAGGGCCGCTCCTTGCTGTCAAACTACATCAACATCCAGCGATGGGAGACGGTCATTTCTTAGAGGCCCTGATGTGGGGAAGAGTGTTCCAAGGTTGTTGACGGTTTTGATAGTTCTGAGACATTGCTCATTACACCAGAGTTGAATCTTCCCAAGGTCTCTTGGCTGACCAAGTCCACCTTAGCGTATCCACAGGCCCAGGAACACGTTGCAAAGCTTGACCAGGAGAGTAGTCCTACCAGTTCTGCTTTCTCTCCTCTGCTGTCCTAGATAAGCTGGCCATCATGTTCCTCATGTGCATCTGGGCATGCTAAACACTAAATAGGCCTCAGCAATTGAGGAGGCTCAGTCCAATACACACATAGTTGGGACCACGTGTCTTGTGATTTTCCATGGCCAAGGTCTAAGTCCAATGATCTAGTTGGGCAGTCCCCCAAGAAACCTCGCCTGGGGTGACCTCAGACTTGACTTTTCTGTGTGCCAGCCAGTGAAGGGCCAGGTGAGATCTGTCACCTGCACCAGTCGATGCATATACTGGTGGATGCAGCTGCCTCGTCAGTTCCACCCCAGCCCCATATCTCACGCTGACAGGTGCTTCTACTGCCCAGCCCAGTCAGCCCACCACAGACCTGGTTCTTATACATATTAGCAGGTACCAGGACCTAGCTGGGGCATCCCCAGTATCTCTCAACAGGCCCAACCCCAGCCTTGGCTTTCACGCAAGCGCCCATATCCCATCCAGCTCTCATGCATGCCCATGAGTGCTGGAGCTTAACTTAGCCAGACCCATTCTCAGACCCGGCCTTCACATACACCAATAGGTTCCATTACCTTGTCCAGCCTGGCCCACCCCCCGCCCTAGTTCTTGTGTTCATCAGTGGTAGGAACAGCATAGCAGGGGAGTGGTATACTCTACCTTAAAAGTCAAATATTCTTCAAATAAGAGGCAGCTATGTTGAATGAGGATTTGACCAGCACTCAAGACAGTAAAATAGTTTTGTTAGACAATGTCTTCTACTTCAGATTGTAAATTAGGCATGAAAAGTGTTCAAGACAAAAGAGGGGAAAGAATCCTAACCATCTCCCTCCACAGGGAGCCAAAACAGCTCTGCTTTTATTCATTTCACAAATACTTCATTTGGAGGAAAAGGAGCACCATCAAACAAGGACAGACAAAATAAAACCTGGGAGTGGGCATCTGGGCTGCGGGGGCTAAGATGGCACCCAGGATGCCCACATCTCACATCTGAATGCCTCGGTTCAAGGCCGGGCTCTGCCCTTGACCCTGAGAGACAGCCATGATGGCTCACATGGTTAGCTGCCTCTCACTCACCTGGGAGACCTGGGCTGGGTTCCTGGGTCCTGGCTTTCACCAGGGACAACCATCACAGGCATTTTGGAAGTGAACCAGCAGAAATGGCTGAGCCATCTCTCAGTGCCACCCAAATAAACAGAAATTTTAAAAATTAAAATTCCTGGGCCCAGTGTGGTAGCTTAGTGGCTAAAGTCCTCACCTCATACCCGCTGGGATAGCATATGGATGCCAGTTCTAATCCTGGCGGTCCTGCTTCCCATCCAACTCCCTGCTTTTGGCCTGGGAAAGCAGTGGAGGACGGCCCAAAGCTTTGGGACCCTGCACCCACAGGGGAGACCTAGATGAAACTCCTGGCTCCTGGTTTTGAACCGGCTGAGTTCCGGCTGTTGTGGCCACTTGGGGATTGAATCAGCAGAAGGAAGATCTTCTCTTTGTCTCTCCTCCTCTCTGTAGATCTGATCTTCCAATAAACATAAATAATAAATCTTTTTAAAAAAGAATTAAAATCTCTTTAATTATTGATAATACCCCTATACCATTTGAGATGTCTAAGTGTAAATTTGTTTTATTTATTATACACCAATAAAAGTCAAAATTGTCATGTAATTTACATTGCTTTTTAATCTGGTGCAAAAAATCATCAATAAAACAACCTTCGTTCTACAGGAGAATCCAGAGCAGAAAAATCAGGAGCCAATTACCCCCAAAGCCAACCTTGTCACAGAACAAGCTGCAGGCACTCTGTGCCCGGAGCTGTAAAGGCATCTATTGAGAGGCTTCTGGGAGTGCAGAAAACAACCCCTCAACATGAGCACCCCAAGGAGATGACACTGGTAGTTCTAACAAAAAAAAAGGAATTGATCTTCACATGTGAGATTACAAATCAATTACATAAATGGCAGATGGCCGTCAGTTGGCCGACCTCTCCCTGGTCTGAAAGGAAATCTGTCACCACGGCCACCTCGCCCTGGCAAAATGGGGTCGGGTCCTGGAAATGGGCTTATGGGATCAAACCGTGGTCTGAGTGGAGAGAACTGGCCGCGTGTCTCCCCAGGCCCAGGAATGAATGAACCGACTGACCCTCCTGTGTAGGGGAGTGTTGGCCTTTCATCATATATGCCCCCGATAATTCCTGGAGGAAAAAAGGAGGAGGGAGGAAAATCCAAATGGCTGGGATAGACTGGAATGCGGTCAGGAGCTGGTGGTGAGAACGTCACAAAACGTCTCTGAGCTTCTTTTCTTTGTATGTACTTCCTCTTGTACAGCTTCAGGAAAAGAAAAAAACACAATAAAGGAAGTGATTTACCTGTTTTCCAAAAGTTTTCATTGTACATCCCCACCAATGCCTTTCTTTTCTCATACCATCTAGCAGTGCACAAAACAGAACTTTTGCCAACTTCTGCTGCGTGAATAAGGCAGCAACTCCAAAAGCAATACCAAGTAAGCTCTGTCCTTTAACCACACTGCGGCTGAGTGACTGTGCTAACATGAACCACAAAGCCCACACAGGAATAACCGCAGCTCATGGACTTTCACAGGTGTAATCTAGATTCCCAAAGTGATATGCTATTTGTTGTAAAACAGTTTTCAAAGGGAGAAATTTAAATGCTCATTGAAAATACTGTATCATAAAATATAAAAGTATGCTACTAGGGAAGAAGGGGTCACACTGAAATTAGTTTTTTCATCTATTGTATTTCCCTAATAAATCTTAATTTAAAATAAAACACAATGTCTGTTTCAGAGAATGGCACACATTCCTAAAAACAGTACAGTCTGGGCCCAGTGCAATGGCTCAACTAGCTAAGCCTCCACCTCCAAGCGCTGGCATTCTGCATGGGCAACAGGTCATGTCCCAGCTACTCTGATTCCCATCCAGCTCCCTGCTTATGGCCTGGAAAAGCAGTGGAGAATGGCCCAAAGTCTTGATACCCTGCACCCATGGAAGAAACTCCTGGCTCCTGACTTTGGATAGACTCAGCTCTAGCCATTGTAGCCATCTGGGGAGTAAAGCAGCAGATGGAAGCAGTTTCTCTCTCTGTCTCTCCTCTCTATATAAATCTGGCTTACCAATAAAAATAAATAAACCTTTTTTTTTTTTTAAATCTAATGAACACATTATACTGTGATTTGTACTTATTTGAGGACTGTTATTGAATTTTACTTTTCTCTAAGCCTTTCAACTGAGAAATCAATTATCTTTTACAGTACTCATCTGTAAACAAAACAACATAATTTCTTTCTTAATGTGTTCTGTTAGCTGGCTGAATTACTGAAGACAATTCCAGCACAAAGACAACACACACCTATAATGTTTGACAACAAGAGCAGAGCAGAATCCTTCTGCTATGAACATTAGCTGTGAAAATTACAAATACCTACTTCTTTCCAATCTGTGTCTCGAGTTTTGACAGTACCATCTTGAAAGAAAAAACAAAAAACAAGGATTAAAAACATTTCATTCATCCAGCATTAACCACTAAGTTTGATTTTTTTGTCCTAAGGAAATGGAGACTTACTCATTAGTCATAAAAAAGGAACATGAATTTCTTGTATGACACATATTGTTTCATTTGTGTTTTCCTGGAGCTAATTCAATTCTTCTACGGATGGTTAAGGGAATTACATGGGAATTCCACACAGTGGTCCTTAAGGATCTGTGGTAAGATATGTGGCTGCTCTCTCCCCTGTACTATCTGGTCCCCAATCCATCTTCTCCCCTTAATCTCATCTATGTGTCAGCTGCTTCTAATATCATATCTCAAAATACCACAATCTGGCGACATTCCCTGCGAGTCTGTACCACAGGCCATGTTGCTGACTGGAAGTCAAGCTGGCTCTGGGTACTCCTCCATATTTGGGGTATCTTTGGTGGGCCATGTTCTGTCTGACTCACTGTCAGAGATACAGATGGGTCTAAGCATTTCTCAGTACAATTATTTATTTGAAATGTGTGAAATGAGGAAAGAGGAACCCATTCAACTGGAAGCCTAAAGGAGAGTTTGGGTAAAAGATGGAGATGTTTTCCCTGCCAAGTCACCACCTTTGCATGGAAGTAAGTGCTAGAAGCTCTAGCCCCATAGCATTCCATCAATAGGAAAACTCATTACAAAAATGTGAGCACTCACCTCAAAGATGAGCTTACAGGCCACACTCTGGAAATAACGGAGACTGACTAATTTAAACTTTTAACCCCAAACTGAACCTAACTGAAATGGCATTTGTTCAATTTATGCATGTTCCTATTACAGCCTATTTTTTATTTGTCAATCCTTCATTATATGTTGGTCAGTCTGTGCCTTTCTTCTCTTCTAAAACTATATATTTTTTATTTTTTTAAGAAGACACCTGCTTCCAAATGTGACAAAATTAACATTTTCAACTTGGATTCAAGGATACAAAAAAGTAGAAAAAGGACCTTAGGAATAACTAGAAGAGAAAGGAATGAACCAAGTCATTCCCATTTACTACATTATAAAGTTTCAAAGAAAATGTTTAATAATCCAAATGTTGAAATATGTATTCTCTTAAAAAAAAAAGGGGGGGAGGGAGGGACAAACTTTTGCAGCTGCTAAGGTGCTATCATATATAACACACTATCAAGCTGTTTTTGAACTAACTTAAGCAGAAATTTACTCCTATTTTATAAATAGATACTATTCGTAAAACAAGCTGATTTTTCAATTCTGTTCTTTTTCATTTCATTGTTTCCTTTTATAAAATGGCCAAAGTTGGACAGTTTGAAAAACCCTAATAATGTTGGAAGATGAGAGCGGCGGGAAGATGTTCCAAGTTGAGCCTTAGCCCTCTGATCTGTACATCCTGACGCACAGGTTCTGATGTCATCACCAAGTGCCCACAAAGTGACCAGAGAACAGCAAAGCTGCCCAGCCCTGGAGCCCTAGGACACTAGACAGCAAGACTATTAACTTGCAGACTGGTCCCACCACAGAAATCCTCAGATACCAAAGGTGAATTTCAGAGAAGGTACAAACCACCTAGTCTAGGCGTCTGTCTGCTGCAGAGGACGCAGAAATGAACAGGGTTTAGACTCTCCCCTCTAAGGTTATTCACCATGATCCTCCAAACTCTTTGAAAAAAAAAAAAAAAGGGTACAGCCTAAAACTTTTGGCAGATAATTAACTAAAACCATTAAGACAGGACTGGTATTGTGGGAAGCAGGCTAGCTGGCTGATTTCAGTTTCCTGCCGCTCCACTTTTGATCCAGCTACCTGTTTGTGGCCTGAGAAGACAGTGCAGGGGGACCCAAGCACTTGGGACCCTGCACCCATGTGCGAGACCCAGGGGAAGCTCCTAGTTCCTGCCCTCAGAACAGCCCAACTCTGGAACTGCAGTCATCTGGGGAGTAAAGCAAAGGATGGAAGATCTCTCTCTCTCTCTCTCTCTTTCTGTCTCTCTGTGTGTATGTGTGTGTGTTTCTCTCCTCTGTAACTCTTTCAAGTAATATAAATAAACCTTTAAAACACACACACACATAAAGAAAAAAGCCATTTTTTGTTAATTTGCTATTATGGAATTACCTCGAAAATCTCGTAGATACAAACACCTCCACAGAAGTGGGTCATTTGATGCAATACAAAGATCACGACAAACTGCGGACAAAGACAGGACTGAGCGAGCATCCAGGAGTCGGAAGATTCGCAGTTTGAGTTCCAGTGGGAGGACTACCAATCCAAACACATCTGGCAGATCCAGGGCTAAAACGGAAAAAAGAGAAAAACAGGCATTACTAAGAACATCCAGCTTTTCCCCACACAGTGAAGACAAACAGCTGCCTGTTCCTCTCTAAAGAGCTCACTACAGGCCATACCCTGAGCTAAACCATGAGAATACAAAATGAAGTAAAACATATTCCCTACCTCCAAGGCATTCGCACTCTTAGACTCAAAGACATTATGTCAACAACTACGATACACTGGAAAAGACTGTAACAAGGACACACACGAAATGCTATGGAATAGAAGTGAGTACCATTTAAGGAACTGACTTTTAAACTTAGTTTTGAGAATTTCACTAGGAGAAAAGAAAGAAATCACGGAGCCCACAAATGCACCAGAGGACTTTAAAGAGTTTGTGGGAAGTGTTGAAAAGGTGAGTTTAACTGGGTGCCCAAAAACATGAAATCTGCGCACAAATTTTTTTTTTCACTTTATACATTTTCCATGAACTTTCTGAATATCCCTTGTACTGACTGCACTTCCTGTTCCTTCCGGCCACTCAGACTGTAACAATGCATCCTCCCTTACCTTGCCGAGTAAAAGCCAGGAGAGGATACACCAGCTGGTCTTTGAAGAGGCGGGACAGCTTCTGAAGATCTCTGTATATCTTGGCTGCATTGTCTCCTGGAATGGTTTTAAATGAAACACAAAATAAGGTGAAATATTTCAACTGGCACCTTCTACTTCTGCCAAAGCAATTCACACATTACTCCTGCAGAGACATTGTAAACCAAAGTCCCTAGTGGCAGAGAAGGTTCTGCATACAACTCGGATAAAACTGAACCTTACAGGTGAAGTTAAATTCCCATGACACCAAATACAGCTGCACAATTATATACCCCACACAGCTGTGGGCTGCATCTGCAGAATAAACTGCTGCATGCCGTTTATACAGATGTCAAAAACATACCGCATCTACCCATGTGTGGGCATCGGGACAGGGCAGGAACAAATGCATGGGACTTAGATCCCAACACAGTAAGCGTATTTATCACATGGAGTTCATGGATCATTAACTGAGTCAAGTATTTCCCAAGCTTTCTCTTACCCCAGCCACCCTCTCCTATATAAGATTTACACATTTTAAAAATTGGAGTGACACAGCCAGACTGTCCGGGGTCCCAGAGAAAGCAGGAGAACCAAACACAAATATCTGGGTCCACACACTTAGCTGCAGCCACTGCACCTCTGCTCACAATGTGCTCTGCAGATCACCAGGGCTGACCCAACCAGAGCCCTTCAGACAAACTAAAGTCAGGCCCCACCAAAGACCAGCTAAATCAGAATGCAAGAGTTGCAACAGCTCCTGGCAATTCACAGGCGGGTCAGGTGCTGAACTGCTCTTCAGTTCTGCTGTTCACCCAGTCTGTAACTTTGGCAAATAAACTCTCCCTCTGATCCTCATTGTTTAAAGGAGACACCAACACTATGTCAGGGAAGAGCTGCTAAGATTTAAAGCTCCACCCCAGAAGTAGGGGATCTGGAGGAACCCGGGTTGCCTGGCCCAGGTCCTTGAGCCTGCCTGTGTGGTTGGTGCCAGGTCTGTGAACCCGAGGCAGGGGACCCGGCGAGGCCTGGGTCAACTTGTGAAAACTGGTCCTCCCCATAGGAAAGACAAAGTAGTGGGCAGATGGCCCAGACCCACAGAGGACACTGTAGTCCATTGGAGCCTGCACAGGACATTTGTTACCATAGCTGTGGGAGGAGAATAGAACAAATTGGACATGTACCCCGCCCAACAATGACAGCAAATAGCTGGGCAAATGGAGATGCTAAGGTGGACGACATCACCCAACAGACATTGCAAGTGTTCTCTTATCCTTGGATTGGCGAGATCGACAACATTTCAAAAACCTTTGAAACCACCTGGGCAAAACTTTCAGAGCATATGCCACATTAAGGCCCTAGGTCAATAATGGGTGGCCATTTCCCATCCCTGGGTGCCAGGGCAGGTGGGAAGCTGGGTATGGCTTCTCTCCTTGTCTATCCCTCCCCCTAGATACATGAAAAAAAAAATTAGAAAAGCTGAAAACAATGATCACACCCTCTTTTCCTTAACCCTCAATCCCTCCCACCCTGATCAACTATGTAAGCATCATCTAAAAATTTTAATAAAGAAAATACACATTTAAAAAAAAAGATTTAAAGCTCCATGCACAGTACATTATTAGGTAAGTTTATGATCACTCCAAGGAATACACTCATTATAACTAATAAGAACAAAGAGAAATATGCAGCTAGAGTCTAAATTTTGGGTGTGTGAACCTGCAATCTTGAGTTGAAATCTGATTTCATTACCATTATACCTTTATAAACATATATATCATTACTATATAGACCATTAAAAAAATATTTTCTCAGGTATTAAAACTGATTTTTTTTCTAAACAGGTTTCCTTTACCAGGAATCAAAGGAAAACTGCAGTATGCCTCTCTACTCCCGAATAAAAGTAGGCCTCCAATAAAACTGCTAAACATACCTTGAAAATAAAATACTAGACTCTACCATTGTCTATAACCACACTGCCATAACACACATAAGGAGCAGAACGCTGGAGTAAAGACTACAGCTGAAGGACTGTATTATTGTAAAACACAGGTGATAATGGGGAGGAGAGAGGAGAAGTGGAAAGGGAAAGGAAATAAAGGAGGGGGAAGAGGGGAAGCCCTATACCTACAAAACTGTAAAATGGAGAATAAGAAATAAAATATATATAGGTTTCCTTTACCAACCTATTATGGAAGTGCTTACTTAGAAATGTATATATAAAGGATAAATAACAGTACCTAGTTAATTACTAGGGTACATAAACTATCACTTGTAATTAAAAAAAAAAAAGCTCAGGGGCTGGTGTGGTGGCCTAGCAAGCTAGTCCTGTGCCCGCAGCACCAGTATCCCACGTGGGTGCTAACTCAGGTTCCAGCTGCTCAACTTCCAATACAGCTCCCTGCTTATGTCCCACGAGGGCAGCGGAGGACAGCCCAAGTCCTGAGGTCTCCATCATGTGGGAGACCCAGAAAGAAGCTACTGGTTCCTGGCTTCGCATCAGCTCAGCCCCAGATGTTGTAGTCATTTTGGGAGTGAACCAGCAGATGGAAGATCTCTCTCTGTCTCTCTCCTCTCTGCAAAAGCTGCCTTTCAGATAAAATAAATTTTTTAATTACCTTTAAAAAAAATTAAGACGACTTGCCAAAGGAGCAGCATATAACTACCCAATGCAAAAATTCTTTACTAAAAATACTTAGTTAAAATAGTTCACAAGCTTGTAAGATGACAGTATTAACTTTTTTTCTCTTCCATTTCATTTTTTCTTATTTAAGAAAAACCAGACTGAAAACAGGAATCTGAGTCACATACCTATAAAGGTTGTTTCTTATTTTTTTTTTAAGATTTATTTATTTTTACTGGAAACACAGATCACATTTATGGAGAGGAGAGACAAAAAGCCTCTGTCTGCTGGTTCACTCTACAAATGGCTGCAACAGCTGGAGCCAAGCCAGTCTGGAGCCAGGAACTTCTCCTCAGTCTCCCACGCGGGTGCAGGGTCCCAAGGCTTTGGGGCATCCTGTACTGCTTTCCCAGGCCATAAGCAGGGAGCTGGATGGGAAGTGGTACAGTCGGGACACGAACCAGTGCCCATATGGGATTCCAGCACTTATCAGGTGAGGATTCAGCTAGGTGAGTGACCGTGCTGAGCCCAAAATTTGTTTCTAAAAGGTTAGGCTAGCCAGACAAATCTAGTTGAATCCCTAAGTCCACCATGGATCAGATCTGTGATCCTGAAGTAATGGAAACTCCTCTAGAGCTGTTAGCAGAACAATATTATTGGCTTAAAGCCTCTATCCACTGCTGGAGCAGGTATTTGGCCTACGGGTTAAGACGCTCTGTTGGGATGCCCACAATGGAGAGCATGGGTTCAAGTCCTGGCTCTGCTCTCAGTTTGCACCTTGGAATACAGCAGGTAATACCAGCGCAAGTACTTAGGTCCCCACTTCCCACATGGGAGACCTGCATTGAATTCCTGGCTCCCGGCTTCAGTATGGCCCAGTCCAAAGCCCTTCAGGTAGTTGGGGCTTAAACCAGCAGACAAGAACTTTCATTGTCTCTGAATCTCAAAGTTGTTAACAAACAAACAAAACTCTACTTCTACAAATAGGAAAGTATTTCTATCCCCCACAGCAAGGTCCTATCTAGTATGGATGAATACTGAGTATAGTCAAAGAGCTTGACATTTTTCTGGTCTAATGATAACAGCCTCTCACAGATGCAGGAGTCACTCTAGCTCTGGGTGGGGAAAACATATTCTAATCATCACACTGGTGTGTGACCTTCCAAAACATCACAGGATTTAAATAAACATGCAGTATAATTCATATGTAAGACCAATTACAGGAGCAGGGAGAGGGAGAGAGAAAAACCTGGAAAGGCTCCTTAGAGGGGAACAACCACCACCGACAAACTGTTGTCCCCACCCGCTGAGGGGAGTCTCCCCTTGTCTCCTTCCTCAGGACAGAGTAGAACGCTCAGCCTCAAGATGAGGTAGGGAAGATGTAGAGAAGGGTTTCCCCAGAAGTGACAGCTAGCTTCCAGTGGAGGTCACTGCCTGCAGCATTCACGGGGCCAGCAGCCCAGGAAGAAAGGGCAGTACTTCTGGCCAGTCTCTGTCTTCCCAGTGTCACAGCAGAAAGGACAAAAAGTGCCAGTGTTGCCAAGTGAGGAGGAGGACTATGAATGCAAAGGGAGCCCCAGCCTGGTGGTCAGGATGCTCGTCCCGTCACCAGCAGGTGAATACCACCAGCAGGATAACCAACTCTACCCAGGCTGACACAGGCACTGGGCACGCCATCATCGGTGGGGCACTGCACCACTGTCATCACCCACAGGACAGCTCTATGGAGGGACGCCAGTGGCCACAGCTTTGCCAGGAAGCCTCCCAACACTGTTGTCACTGGCAAAGGTAATAAACCTTGGATGTCTCTGCCCAGGGGATGGGGCATCAAATTTAGCAGTGCTGACAAGAGACAATAGGCTGACAGCTAAACAGAGCAGTGACTAAATCCCAGCAGGGTAGATTTTCTGTTGTTGTTCACATAACGAATTCTAAAACAAAAAAAACCATGAATGAGAAACAGTCCAATGTGACATTAAATGCTCAATTCAGCTAATACTCCAGTTCTGATTCTATCTATGCCCAGCCAGAGACCATCATAACTATGCATTCTGCTCTTGCCAATATCAGTATAAGCCAGCCTCTCAGAGCCTGCTTTTCCCTGGGAACTAACAAATCTCTGGGCCTTCAAAGCAAAATTCCAGATCCAGCCAGCCTTCCTAGAAGACAGTTATGAATGCCATTTCCCCAGTGTGTGGCAGCACTCCTGTCTAGCTCAGGAATCCTAATGTTGCCCTGAGCAGTGAATGAAGAAAGCCACAAAGGCACATCCCAGCACAAGGCCGGCGCCCAACACGTCAGCTGCCTCTCTCCACCCTGGCTCTCCTCCTTCCACTCTCACTCACCTCTCACAACGTGGGTTAGCCAGGAAAGAGTGAAAAAGGAAAACCTGTCTTCCTCCCACCTACTAATAATTTAACAGAATATAAGCAAAGTCATGTCTAGAATGCCAACTTTTGATGAAGTTCCAATTTGCATCAATTAATAATCAAACTTACATAGGTTTAAACAAACATTCCTAATGCAATTTTTCCTCCAATAATCTTCAATAGTGATGTTGCATTTAACTACTTCCACAAAACACTGATCCTTTTGCAATGACAAAAAAATCTCCGAAGATTAATTCAGAAACTACAGAGCAGGATAAAACTGTGCTGAATTCACAGCAGCATTATTTCACAATGTAATATAATTCAGCACACTGAGACTCAGAAAAACAGGAAAGAAACAAACTCCTTAAATTAGAATATAGTTAAAGCCTCTGTATTCTTAAAGAGACAACACTGTCTTGAATTTGCCTAAATATTGAAATAATCAGTGTTTCCAATGCTATCTTTCAGGGTTTGTTTGTAAGTGAACCTCCCAAAGCTTAGTCCTAAAAGCTAAGTCACTCTGTTACCTGGGTCTTCTATGCAAACGAAAGATTCTGGCCGGAGCTGCAGTTTCTTTACACTTCTCATCTCATTGCTGGTTTTCAGTGTGGCTGAAAATAAGAGGGAGAAGATAACCAGTTGCTTTCCTACCTCAGCCTTGAGCTCACCACCCCAGTCCCCAGTACACCAAGGTCTCATCACACAAAACAAATGGCTCTGGGCCTATTGCTTTCCCTCCCAGCAAGGTCAAAGTGCAAACTTGCTATCACATGAGAAATTACTCCTAAACACCACCTTTAGGAACTACAGTGAGCACTCCATATACAATCCACTAAGCATTAACAGCTGCAGCTTACTAATAACTGAAAGATATGCAACAAGGTTAACAGGAGGTGACCAAACACAATAAAATCATTATTTCTAATTGAGGTCACTACAAACTCCACTTCCTTTTCGTTTAACCCTTGGCAACAAGTTCTCCCTTGTTAATGAGAAGAATCTTGCTGGTTTTCACAGCATCATCTCGCTCAAAGGACCAATACTCTTGACTTCATCCAAGGGCTCAATTTTAATCACAGACACAAACACACACTTTATTTCAGTCTCTGAAAGAGCCAGTGACGGGCTGGTGCACGTGTGTGCCAGGCAGAACGCCTCAGCCGAGGCAACCACTGAAGGTCACAATGCGCCTTTCCAAAGACTCAAGGTTGGGAAGGGTGGCAGCCACGCAAGTCTGCACAAAGCTGAGATACCAGGAGCAACAAAGGAATAACACGTCAGAAATGATGGCACTATCAAGACATCAGCCACCATCTCTTTATAGTAAGCATCAAGGAACCAGTAACTAGAGAATGTCACATATTCTACATGTCATTGAATGTTTTCATAACAAAGTGAGGCAAAAATTACTTCATTTAGTGACTTTGATAACTTCCACCTTGCAGGTTATGACTGGATATAACAGAATGATTACATAAAGGCAGAACCCGCCAACACTGTGAACAAGAATCTAATTGTGATGAATGAAGCCTTTTGCAGGGCGAACCAGCACATGGAAGACCTTCTCTATCCTTCTCTATATAAAATCTGCCTTTCGGGCCCAGTGGCATGGCCTAGCAGCTAAAGTCCTCGCCTTGAACGTGCCCGGATCCCATATGGGTGCCGGTTCTAATCCCAGCAGCTCCACTTCCCTTCCAGCTCCCTGTCTGTGGCCTGGGAGAGCAGTCGAGGACAGCCCAAAGCTTTGGGACCCTGCACCTGTGTGGGACACCCGGAAGAGGTTCTTGGTTCCCAGCTTTGGATCGGTGCAGTACCAGCCGTTGCAGTCACTTGGGGAGTGAATCATCGGACAGAAGGTCTTCTCTATGTCTCTCCTCTCTGTATATCTGACTTTGTAATAAAAATAAATAATTTTTTTTTAAAAATCTGCCTTTCGAATAAAAATAAGTAAATCCTAAAAAGAAAGAGAGACACGTTGTTAAACCTTAGTGCCATCAGCCTGTCACATCCTGAACAACGTGGAGTGCCATTAGAGTAATTTAAGCTAAAATGTTCATACTTCTAAATAAAATTTGCTCTATCTCCTTTGTCTTATTTATTTGAAAGGCACAACTGATGCAAAAAGAGAGATAGAAGAGACAGAGAGATCTTCCATTTGCTGGTTCATTCCCCACATAGCTACAACTGCCGGGGTTGGGCCCAGCCAAAGCCAGGAGCCAGGAATACCACACTGACATGGGTGGCAGGAGCCCAAGCAGCACAGCCATCTTCCACTGCCTTCTCAAGCGACTTATCGGAAGCTCAATTAGAAGTGGAGGAGCAAGGACTCCAACCAACACTTTGATATGGGATGCCTGCATCACAAACAGGCACAAAGCTAGCTGAAATTAAATAAATAAATAAATAAATTTAAAGACATCAAAATAGCAGGGCTGTCCCAAGAGTGACAGCCTTTGACCCCAACACCAACTTCATGTTTTAAAATCTTCTAGACACATGCTGTCAGTGATCTAGGAATTATCTGGGATCTACAAATGAAATAACATTGAGAAAGAGTGACAATTATCATGATAGCCAACTAGTGAAGTGTAGACAAAGCACTTGGAAAGAAACACATCAGGACAGTGTCTACCAGCCAACAGCCAGGATTAAGCCATGCTGTTACCGTTCACAACGATGAGGTTTCCCATGGGCACGCAGGTGAGCACAGCACAGCCACCCTCGCACAGCGGATGTGTGTACTGCAGCCGGTACACGCCGCTAGCCTTCCACTGCTCTGGCATGGACATGCCTTTGGTTTCTGTCCCCTGGGGGATGACACAAAAGCAGTACACAGAATGAAGAAAGGCATTATTCTCAAAAAGATTAAAAACCCAGAAGACACTTACCTTGTTTAGAAATATAAGCATTCCACACAGGCCCCTTAATAAAAGGGCACCAAGTCACTAATCTTACTATTAACAGAGGATAATATAGTGTAATTATTTTGCTATCAAAATTTCGTTCCAAACAGGTATACCACTGCCACAGAAATAGGAATTGATTTTTCTTCAAAGATTTACTTCTTACCCTACCACAGCAGTATCACTATTCAAAACTCCAGTTCAAATGTCACTTTCTCTGTAACACATTTTTCAAAAGAAAGCTGTAATGCCCTTTCATCCCTTTACATTCTGCTTGTGTTTCTATGGCTACATACTTCTATTACATTATTTAGACATCATAAATACTGCTCTTTCTCCAGCCTATGCATTCAGAGACAAGGAATCACATATCATTTATTAAAGGGGATACATTCTTAAAAATAAAGGTCATTAAGCAACTTCACCATGATTGAATACTATTAAAGATGTTAAGATGGTGGCAATGTAACCAGGTGATATCATGTTGCGTCCACTATGGTGGTCCCACTCATCTAAGTAGGCATCAGCAGGTGGCACATGACTGCACTTCTGAGTCCTAATTCCCGGCTCGGTGCACAGCATGCAGCAGGTGTGCAGTGACCCTGAAGGACTGCGTCTTGCCATCTTGTGCCATGGGCCACAGACCAGCAGCACGGCATAGGGAAGGAGGACACGGAAGCTCCAGTTCTATCCTGCATTTTCCAAATCAGAATCTGTATCTGAGCGAGACCTTCAGATTTTCCTACGTGTTTTAAAGTTTGAGCAGCTCTCCTCTCAATGTTCTCCCATGAAGCCCTGGCATGATACACAGGTGTATGTTTCCCAGAACTTGACCAAGTTGGTATATAACAGTCATGCCGACTATGTCACTGTCATTCCCAGACTATGAGCAAGTGGAGAACAGGAACCTTTCGCATATGTAAGTTGAGAGCAGGAACAAAGCACTGAACCTGACATTGGTAGATGCTTATCAAACAGATGACAGATGTAAAACCCAGCAGCTGTGTAAGGTGTAAGAGCTAGGTCCCTCTCCCCGAGTCTTATTTGGGAACTGGCATTCCACAGACATCACATTAAAAAAACAACCTAGTGAGTCATGCCCACTTACACTCATTAGCCACATTTTATATATCTGCTGTCACATATAATTTTGTGTCCTTATTTTTTTTAAGCCACAATTGCCTTCACCTCTTTAACACTCTTAAAACGGATCAAGGAAATGAAGGAAAAACAGGATGTGAGGGAAGAACACTGAGTGTCTCCTGGAGCTTATCACTATGTTCAGCACTTCATGCTCAATCCCCAACCACACTTAATAAACAAACCTAGCACAACCTAGTGCTACTTACTGATACACCCCTAGCATCTGCCTGTCATCCTTACCTGAGGCACGTAACCTGACTCCAGCATGAGTAGATGCAGCAACACTATCAAGGCATCCTTGGCGTCAGCACAGCTGGCCGATTGATACAGGATCTCCAACGAATGGGGCACCTGCCCCTCCACGGCCTCGCTGCAGAGCATCGGTTCTGAGTGACAGACACCTGTTTCCTCTTCCACATCCATAACATCCTGAATGGCCTCAGCTGCCAAATTCTGACTAGGCCCTGGCTGAAAAAGATAACAAAAACAAGAACTTCTTCAGAAGCCTTACTTTTGCAGGGTGTATTTTACATCTAAAGAGAAGTGAGATTCATGCAAGCAGGAATGGGCATCAGGCACGTGTGGTTAAAATGCCATCTGGGACATCCACATCTCATATGAAGTGCCTGGGGTTTGAGTCCCGCTCCACTGACCATTCCAGCTTCCTGCTAATGCACACCTTGGGAGGCAGCAGGAGGAGGTGCTTAGGTGCCTGTCACTCCTGAAGAAGACCTGAAGTGAGTTCCTAGCACCTGGCTTCAGGCCGGCCCAGTCATGCCTACTGTGGAAATTTGGGAAAAGTGAACCAGCAATAAAAAATCTCTCGTGTACACAGCACACTCTCTCACATTCTGCTTTTCAAATAACTAAAATCCAATTTTTTAAAAAGTCTAAATATATCACTGAATTTAGAAATTGGAGATACTTCAGATGATGTTTCATAACTTAGTGAGCCAGCCACCTACTACTTCAGCCTCAATTCCTCTTCCCCACTAACCCTGAAGGTCACCATCAAATCCCCCTCTACCTTACTAAGCCTTACCCCAAAAACAATGGGTTTTCAAGACTCCACTGAAACTACTCTCACTAACCCTAAACTTGTCCTGTTTCTATTCCACATTACTTTCTTCTGACTTGCAGCAAGGTGTGCCTCTAACTGCACGTCTTCAGAACCATCCCTCCCTCAGCTGCTAAGAATCTAATCATGTCCTGTACCGGCTTATAACTCCTCAGGACCGCCCCAGAATTGGCTCTGTGGTGCAGCAGGTAAAACCACTGCCTGGGATGCTGGTCTCCCACAAGGGTGCCGGCTGTGACCTGGCTGCTACACTTGTGATCCAGCTGCCTACTCAAGGCCAAGGAAGAGCAGCAGAGAATGGCCCAAGTGTTTGGGGTCTGGCAACCCAAGTAGGAGACTCAGAAGTTTCTGGCTCCCCTTGGATATCTCGAGAGTGACCCAGCAAATTGAAGATCTCTCACTACCTCTTTCAAATAAACAACAACAACAACAACAAACCTCAACAGTGTCTCAACACTGACAACAGCATTCCCCTCAACTGTGCCTTACAAACACGAGGTACGGAAAATGCTAAATACAATAGCCACCTAACCCCACCTTCCAAAACGCGCTGTTCAGAGGCGCCTAATAATAGCAATGTGCACATAACATTTACACCAATAAACACTTCCTCAGGCTCTGCAGTGCGTACGTTCAAACTCATTAAACAACTGTCTCACAAAGGACACTGAGGAAGGCCTACAAATGAAATCCCCACTCCTACACTCCTTCGCACAAAGGGCCCTTCGTCAACTGACCCCCACGCTATCAGGTGCTCCTTCTGCCGCTCCCTTTCCATGCACTGTGCAATACCTCTCCCACAGAGGAAACCCAGGCCGCCACTCTGCCTTGCAGGGGCCTGGATAACTGCAGCTTACCACGTGGCACTGCCATCCTCTGACCATCTGTCTACATCGCCCCCCGCAAGTGCCTGCAGGTTAGATTATGAAGGGCCACACTACAAAAATATCACCTGTGTCTGTAGCCCTGGTACAACTCCCCGCACACAGTAGGTATACAAGAAATGCTAGCTGGACAATTGCTGAAGGGTATTAGCTTACAATTTCATAGTTTTCTCATATGCATCTTATAACAATCCTATAAAACAGGCAAGAAAGATGATGTCTCCTTTTTATAGATGCTATCATCAAGAAAGATTAAATAATGCAATCAAGGTTACCAGCTAATAAACACTTAACATAAACCCAGATCTCAGGATTTGTAGTTCATAGACATAACACACAGCTTCAAGGAAACTCAGTCACCTGTGTTAGTTCTGTTCAGCAACCTTGTTTCCTAGACAAGTGCCCAATTCTTAATGCAAAGCACATATTTCTTGTAAGTTTGGATTTCCATTAAAGAAAGGGAAGAGGAAATTGAAATGACATAGTGTGCCAGAAAGTTTAAGTCTGAGGTGATAGCTTTTCTCACAAAGTCTCTGAAGACATAAGCCCTCGTGGCTTTGAAGGATCCAAATTCAATTACTGAAAGCTACAGGCCAGTGACAATTCACACTCCTAAAGAAAGGATATGGCAGAAAACCATTTCCATGGTATTCTTCTGAGCCATAGAAACTACTATATCAAAACCAAGTTAGCACTGAACTAAACAATGAAGTGTAGGTTCTTTGCTTCTGTACCATTATGCCTAACTTCCTGCCATCTATTGCTTATTAAGGGTTGTGTGGAGCAGAGCATATGTGGGGAAATAAAAACACGCTTACCCTACACCAACCCACACTGCTGGAACACAGCAGAAGACCCTGGCAACCTGTCCAAAAGGACTTGCAGGCCGTGAGCACCACGGCCACTCTGAGCCATGCTGATAAAACAATTATCACCTTCACACATGCAGGAATGCAAACAAACATCAGAGCACCACCTCTCTGAGCAGACCGCCCTGCCACAGCCACGCACAGCAGGCCCAGATGGGTGACTGACACGGCTCACACAGATCTTTACCTGATACCTAACATCCCTGTTTCTCATTAAAGACCCTGCACATACTAGATGAATTCTCACATAAAAGGAAATCAGAAAATCAATTTGCTATTTAATTAACAGATAGAAATGGGTGTCCGATGGTTTTAATCTTTATTCATGTACTTTCCTTTTGTGCTGCTCCATTGTCTACCAAATTAGCAGCTCACACTGTGTGAAAACTCACAGGATTATTCAAGAGATGTCAAGCTCCGTTATCAAACAGTTTTTACATTGGATGATTTGGAATATCATCCAATGGTTTCAATACTGAAGTTACTAACCTGAGGCAACACTAACATCTCAGAATTCTCATAGGCTTTAAGTTATCTCTTGCTCAGTCTATCAACAAAAAAGACTTAGCTGGGCTGTTTTAACATGTAGCTAAATAGGCTTCCTTACTCTCCGAATTATCTGTACGAGGCAGAAACATGCAGAGATGCAACAGTTTCTAAGATACAGTAAAATTCATATATCTGGATATAGCTGACTTTCACAATTTACCAATCTATTAAAAAATGTTTCTTGATATCTATCTACATGTGATGCCAAGAGAGGTGCCATGAATGCTGTAGTTGAGGTGGTAAGCACACGGATAAAACAATTAACAAAAGAAGCACTTGCATATCTCAATTTTTTTTTAAGTGACAAATTTAGACACAGTGCAGTGACTCGATGCCTAAATCATCACCTTGCAAGCACCGGGATCCCACATGAATGCCATCCAGCTCCTTGCTTATAATCTGGAAAAGCAATGGAGAATGGCCCAAACCCTGGGGACCCTGTACCTGCATGGGAGGCCCTGAAGAAACTCCTGGCTAGGGCTCAGCTCAGCCCCAGCCTTTGCAGCCATTTAGGGAGTGAACCAGCAGATGAATGATCTTTCTCTGTCTCTCTTCTCCATAAGTCTAATCTGTCTTTCCAATAAAAATAAATAGATCTAATTTTAAAAGTGCCAATTTATAGAAGAAATTTATAAATGGGATAATAAATAATGAGGTAGAAAAATTAAATCAAGCATGGGTAGCGGTGGGCAAGGGCTTCGGAAGAGGGCAGAGATGCAGACAGGAGTAGCAGGCAAGGCAGTGGACCTTGGTGAGGGCAAACTGTGAGGACACAGGTATGGAAGCAGTTGCTAGCTGTGTGCTCAGGAGCTGTGACGTGTTGGCTGGCGGACAGAGATGATAAGGAGTCTGATCTGACAGGAGACAAGCAGCTCCAGGAGGGAAGAATAGAAACCAGCCTTTGAAAGGGTGGGTGAACAGCTTTCCAGAAAGCCTTGAAAAGGAGTAATAGGAGGACAGGAAACATTTTCTTCTACAAAATAGGTGGAATTAGGGGCCAGTGCCATGACATAGCAAGGTAAGCTGCCACCTCCAGTAACAGCATCTCATACAGTTGCCAGTTTGTGTCCTGGATGATCCACTTCCAATCCAGCTCCCTCTAATGCGCCTGGGAAAGCAGAAAATGGCCCAAGCACTTTGGGCTCCTGCAGTCACACGTGAGACCCAGAGAAGGCTCCTGCCTGCTGGCTTCAGCCGGGCCCGGCCCCAGCCACTGTAGCCATTTGGAGAATGAATCAGCAGATGGAAAACCTCTTTCTCTCCATACCTGTCTCTCTCTAACTCTACCTTTCAAATGGATAAAATAAATCTTCAGGACAAAAAAAGATGGAATTAAAGATACTTGCTTTTTCAGTTGAAGGCATGATGAGCACAGGTCTACTTACTAGAAACACAGAGTAAAAGAACAGCAAAACAAAGAACATAGGAAAAAAGCAAACCTACAAAGTGGACTAAAGGAACCTAACATGCAAAAGAAAAACTGACATAGCTGGTTAATGGACTGCCAATTAGGAGTTAAAAACCACAGGAAAATTGGTGTGCCACTGATGCGGCAACAGGGATAGGAAGAAGACAGCAGCAGCGCGCATGTTCCAAGTTTGTCTTAGACATCTCGAGCCTGAAATACCAACTCAAACACTCCAGGTATAAATGTCTGCAAGTCATTTGGAAACAACTGGACTATAACTGCCCTATTGAGTAGCTTAGGCCCAAGAAGCAAAGGCCACTGACAGAAATACAAGCAAATGGATAATGTTACTGAAGAACTGAGCATCTGGACAAAAGATAAAGGTATAAACTAAGCACTCTGGAATAACAGCCTAATACTGGTCCAGTAATTTAACAGTCTAAACAAAACAAAAAATGCTGAGAAAATGCTCTGCAATCCCCCGGTGATAATTATCCTGACTAGTCTAGAAGCCAACTGAGGAGTTTGATCTGGTTTGCCAACCACCCCATTTCATGTGTTGGTCTTTTATACGCACCATGCTGTCATCATGCCGGATGTCAGACTGGGCTGCCTGTGCCTGGGATGAATCACTCAGTTGTTCATCTGCTTGGCTGGCCTGAGTGGAGCTGGCGGCCAGAGAGGGGTGATCATTATTCTGGACTGAGGAATGCTCTGAATCTGTGGATGAAGGCAAGTTAGGTGCTGGAATGGCATCTTCAAGAATCAAACATATCAAGTCCCCAGAAACAATCCCATATGAAGCCAAGGTGTCTTCATCTCCAGTGAGGGCATCCTTGTTGTTCAATGATATTGCAAATCGGGTATCAGAACTGCCAAGAGAGACGGATAAGGATAGTAAGAGTGACCTATTGCCATTGCCCTCAATAATACATTTGGAACATATATATGCCTATAGAACTACTCTATGGGGGGAAAAGTCAGGGGGAGGCCAATGTTTTTAGAAAATTCTCTAAATTAATTTGTTCATATCTTCAAAGGCCTAGTTCACAGATTTCTAATAATTAACTCTAGCCTAGGGAATTGATATAGTACTTTTCTAGCATTAATCTATGTTTTCATCAAATCTAGGTCACATCTTTTAATTCACTTTGACACCTTTGAAATCGGGGTACTGCTTAGGATCAATGAATTATCAGTTTGACAGCATTGCCCTTCATACTACACAAAACAATTTTTGCCTCATACTGATAGCAAATGAGAGTCAGAGAAATACCAGTTTTCAAACACAAATTAGATGACATCATTGCTCTGCTTAAAATACTCCAATGGTTTCCATCTGAACTTGGAATAAAACCTTTACCAAGGCCTGGGGAGCCAACACTGGGCCCCTTCCCACCTCTGCCAAGGCTTGGCACATCTCCCCCCAGCCCTGGGCTCGCTCACGGGTGCTCTCACTTCTGAACATTTCACTGCAGCCTGTGGGATGCTGCACTTGCTCTTCCGGGCAGCTCCGACACCACCCCCTCAGCCACGCCTCCAGCATTCACTAGGCCAGTCCCATGCTTTACTTTTATGGTCACACCATTAGAAAACATGGTCAGCTTTTGTCTATTGCCTGCCTTCACACCCCTAGCACTAGACATTCAGATTTCTCAGAACAGGGATCCTGCGTGCTCAGTTTTAAACTATATCTCCAGCAGCTGGCAAATAACACATCGGTAGTAAAAACACAACCTCTCAACATTAGCTGGGAAGACAAAGATGAAAGTGACTGCCCAATCCAAGTCTTAACGTAATGGCTTGCTTACACCAAATCTACATCCTCAATGAATATTCATAATTGCAAAAAGCAAGATCAGTGTATGTAGATAATAAATACAAATTCATCCCACATGACCTCTTCTACCGTTGAAGAGAGTACAAGTTCACCCGTCCTGTGGATGACCAGTTACGTCTCACAGGGAAGACAGCACAAATCCAGAAACTCACTGCTAAACAAGCACACAAGCCTGAAACAATGAAGTGCCACCCCTCGTGTGCTGAGCTATCGCCCTGTGACAACACGGCGCTCTGTCATCACACAGTGTGAGGCATGATTAACAAACCACTCTGACACATCTTAGCAGACACCGACACTCAGCAGGGCTAATCTGTACAAACTGTGAGAAGTCAACAAAATACTAAGTCATTTGAAAATTATGTTCCATTTGCTTTTTCCTACAATGCTGCACCCTGGAAGGTGCTAGAACTAACTCATTTGTCTGTCTTTCACACACACACATTTTTTTTCCTTACCAAGTCAAATGTCTTTGACAATCCTTACTTATAAGAAAAAGAAGTGGGGTCAGCACTGTGGCACGGTAGCTTAGACCTGCAGCACTGGCATCCCATGTGAGTGCTAGTTCAAGTCCCAGCTGTTCCACTTTTGATCCAGCTCCTAGCTAGTGTGCCAGGGAAAGCAGTGGAAGATGGCCCTACTGCTTAGGCTCCTGCACCCACGTGGGAGACCTGGAAGATGCTTGCAGCTTTAGACCCAACTAGTCCCAGCCATTGTGGCCGTTTAGCGATTTTGTGGCCATTTATGGTTATTTTCTGTAACTGGGGCAGGGAGTGGGAAATGTCACTAAAAACTGAAATTCTAGAAATGCGAGGCTTTTCGGGAAACTTATTATAGCAATCCTTAATGCAACTGCTTAGTAAAGATATTATAGGAATGTCTTAGGGACATATCTTAAAACTACCTGTTCAGCATAAAATGAATTTTCTTTCAGAAAAACGAATTTACTTTCACAAGCTGACACTTAATTCTTTCCACTTAACCAGTGTGAGCTGTAAACACAAACCTGAAAGAGAAACCAACTTGGGTTCTGGGGCAGTCATATTGAGTTCCACATCCTTTGTCCTGCCTAATTCAAAGACAAGAAGGTATACATATACATATACAAATGAAGACTCCTTCAAAGGAGGAATTTTAAAAAGTCATAGTGGGGGGCCCAGCGGCATGGCCTAGCAGCTAAAGTCCACGCTGGGATCCCAAATGGGTGCCGGTTCTAATCCCGGTAGCTCCACTTCCCATCCAGCTCCCTGTTAGTGGCCTGGGAAAGCAGTCGAGGATGGCCCAGTGCTTTGGGATCCTGCACCCGTGTGGGAGACCTGGAGGAAGTTCTTGGCTCCTGGCTTTGGATTGGCACAACACTGGCCATTGTACTCACTTGGGGAGTGAATCATCAGACAGAAGGTCTTCCTCTCTGTCTCTCCTTCTCTATGTATATCTGACTTTCCAATAAAAAATAAATAAATCTTTATTTTAAAAAAAAGTCATAGCAGGGTAACAAGGCCAACACGGAAGCACTCTGACTTTAACGTGAAGAAATAACCACGGACACATGTCACTTACTGTGGGTAAAAAGAATTACGTCAACAGCCTAATTTTTAGTTTTTTTTTTTTTTTATGCAGAGCAAAACATGCTTACTTCAATCTGATAGCGCATTAGGCCAAGAAATAAAACAGTGAGTTTTTAACTGGGTTTCATGTCTGAATTCTTCAACAATAAACTGAAAGCTCCCCCAAAGTCTTCAACTGGAGGTTCTTGACAGAAAGCTTTTTCTTTTCTTTTGAAGAGTCAGTTCCCTCACAAAGCTCCAGGGAGCCATGGTTTTTTGGTTTATTTTTTTTCTCAGCACCCCACACCTGTCCACTGGCTGAGTCTTCGAGCAGGTCCACCTCTTAGCGGTTCCTATTACCCCAGAGCATGGTTCTCGGAGATTGTCGGTTCATCTGCAGCCCCAGAAACTGGCAACAGAATTTGATCCTTTCTCAATTTCATTGCCCTCCCATCCCCAACTGTAACCCCCGCGCCCCCGGGGAGGTGGGGCATGGTCATCTTTAAGGCTAATGTTGGGGTTTGGGTGCAGTGGGCAGCATCCCGCCCAGCAAAGTCAGAAGATCCCAAACTTTGGGCCTCGAGCCGCCCATTTTAAAACCCTACGCCTGGCAGGGACTGCCGGCTCCGTGCCCTCGTCCTCTCCCAGTCTGTTCACGGAGGCACCCCTGCAAGGGGCACCTCCACCCGAGTTCACTTCAGCCAAGTCTCGCCCGTGCGCCACGCTCCTAACTTCCAACTGGGAAAACATACACTGAGCTTCCGTTGCCAAGTTTCTCGATCCTGAGTTTTTTTTTTCTAGGAAATCGAAAGCGATTACTCACCCGGGAGGGCACCGGCGCGGCCCCCGGGAGGCTGGGCCATGTCCTCCAGGAGCCCGCACCCCGCGAGCAGAGGGCGGCCCGCGCGCAGCTCTCACCCGTGACACCCCGCGCGTCACAGCCCCGGCGACGTCCCCCGAGATAAACGCGAGGCGCCCGGTCACTCGACACCCCGCCTCCTCCCGCGTACCTGTACCCCCAGCTGGGAAGCAGGGCCTGGCTCAGGCGCCATCGCAGCTGCCCCAGCGTCGGCTCCGCCTCGGGCACATCCACCGGCCTGGTTTGCTTCTGAACCCGCACCCGCAGCTTCATGGCGACGCCGGCTGGGGCACCTCAGGCACAGACGGCGCCGGGCTGTAACCGGGATCAGGCCCCGCCGAGGCTTCTAGAACCGGAGCGCTCCGAGAGCGGCTCTCTCGGGGTGCCCACCCGGAGAGCGAGCGGCTGGCGGGCCTGGCGCGCCGGTGTTTACCCCCCAGCATCGGTGACTCGGCGCGCCGCTGCGCTGCCTGGCGGGGCGCGGCACGCACTGCGCAGGCGCAGACCCGCCCGCCCGGCGCTGTTCGCCAGCCGAGCCGGCTGCTTCAGGGCTGCCTGACTGGACAAGTGGACGGCGCCGCTCAAGGACCTTGCCACTTTTCTGAGGAAACTTGGGGGCTGAGAATCCTTCCTGACAGGCGCGGCTCCGGCAACTCAAGCTTTTCCCCTAAACAGCCCCACAGGGCTGTCTGAATGCTGCCCTGCTGTACAGCTGGCTTAACTCAGAGAAGGTGGTCCCGGAGAGACCAAGTCAGAGGCCGCCATGTCTGTTATGACCCAATTTCAGAAGTCACACACCGACCCTTCCGATCCATCAGCTCTGACAACGATGACCACGATGATAACTTAAAGCTGAGGGACCTGATGTCCAGTTTCATCTGTCATAATCGTGGGTCAGATTATGGTACAAGCACGTTTCTGCCAACAGGTGGCAGGACTTATCCGCATCCTGACTCATCCCGCCTGTTGATGACTTGAGTCAGCCTGAATGCCGGAAGTGCCAACACCAGAGACACGTCCCTGCCCAGGCCACGCGCTTTGCAGTTGAGTGAGTTAGTTCCTGCAAGAGTGCGCAACATAGACGTGGGATTGGGGATACCTGGGTGAGGATATAAGACTGAGGAAGTATGGCAGGGCCAGCGGGCTGCAATCACAGTGAGGCACAGAGTGAGGAAATCCCAAGGAGGAAAAAAAGCATCTTGGAATAAACACTTTAGGGCACAGTCTGGAATGTATGGGATGCCACTGAAAAGTTTTAAGGGGATTTTTTTTTTTTTTTCTAGAAACAAGCTCTGGCCACCTACACAGCAAGGGAGTGACTACAGAGAATTTCGGAAACACTAGGATAGTGGCCCCCAGCTAAGCTTCCAAAACCAAAGCTCAGAACCATGCTGAAAAACTGGCCTGGTGCAGAAACTATTACAATTGGAATTGTTGCCACAGAACACCACCCTGCTGGCGGATGCTGCCACCGCTGTCAGGAACCACTGAAGAATGGCTGCCATCAGATGCCACATGTTTTTGTAACAAAAATTGGCAAAGTTCCAGAACAGCCTGTTGCCCCATCTTGCCGACTTCCAAATCAAAGTCTCCTAGGAGTGCATCTGAGAGAGGGAATCTAGGTCCACGCCTGAGTTTCAGTCCCAAAGGTGACTAGACTGGTCTTGGGTTCTGAACGCCCTTGGGGAAACTGGACTGATAGTATTGAAATCCCACCCACCTACCCACCCAAATTTGGGGAGGGCTGTTCTGAAGGTGGTAAGAAGCAAAGTATCTGACAGATATAAAACACTAAGAGCATGCTCAGATCTGAAATGTGGGCATATCTAATTGAAGGAGCTGTTGAAATTACATTAATTTCTCCACCTCAGCAATAGTGACATTTTGGGCCACAAAAGTCTTATTTTGTGGACAATTTTGTGCATTGTAAGATGTTTAGCAACATTCCTGGACTTTGTCTCCAAAATACTAGCACAGCTATCTCCCTTCCCCAGTTGTAATAACCCGAGATGTTTCATAAAATTGCTAAATATCCCCCCTGAAAGACAAAATCACCTTGAGAACCACCAAGTTTGGGATCAGCTTACTTAGGAGGGTCTTTGGTAGCTGAGAGAAGAAACAAATTTATGGAATGCCAGTGGGAACAGAGACAGTTGGGTGGGCAGAAGGAATCACTGAACTTGGAAAATGATTCTGTTTAGAAGCTATGACAGAGCTCTCACATAATCATGACATAAAGCAAACTTTGTTTCTCTCTTGAAATGTACTCTTACAGAAACAATGCACGCTACTGTGGTGATACTCTTCGGAGACCATTTTTGGAGCCCATCTGTGACACACCACTCAATACTACATAAGCCTGTGTAAGTTATCTACACAAGTGGTATTGGTCATGAAAGTATGTCAAACAGGTACATTGTAAAGATTTAGGTAGATAATACCAGTTTGGGTTTTTTTAAGCTTCTAAGTTTGTGACAATTTCTTATGGGGTTGACATTGCACTCCCTTACCTAACAAGGTGCAATTGTTGGGACTTTGGAAGTAATCCAACCACAGAGTATGGGAGGATACTGGAAGAGAACCAACCATTCTCTGGCACTGCCAAGATTTTGAATAGTCAAGGGGACAGACCTCCAAACCCTCCAAGGTCTACGAGAATATCCCACACCTTTCCTCTCAGAGATGCCCCTCCTTGAGAATTGCTTTCGTTTTTACAGGTTGCCATCTGAATGGCTACAAGCAATGGGCACTAAAACTTTCAGGATTTAGAAATCTGATTTTTTTTAATAGGCCCATATCATAGCACACTCCAAAGAGATGATGCCAATCTCCTTCAGGGATTCATTCATCGTCTCCCTTTGGCTGGTTTTTTTATATATATATAAATGTTTAATTTCAGAACAGCTTTAGGTTTATGAAATTATTGTGGAGAGTTCTCATATGCCACATGCCCAGGGTTCCCTATGAGCAGTATGACACATTTAGTATGGCATCTTTGTGATTAATGATATATTACTACTAGTTAAAGTTCATGTGTAAGTATATTGTCTGTTTTGTACCAAATGCTCATCTTTGGTCCTCGGATTCTACTCATGTTATGTAGTCATGTCTCTTTGGGTTCCTCTTAGATTTCCTTTGGTTTCTTGTTGTTATTGTTGTTGTTAACCTTGTTGTTGTTAACCTAACCTTTCAGGAACACCAGTCAGGTATTTCGTAGGCTGTTTTTCAGTTGGCATTTGTCTAATACTTATCTCGTGATTAGACTGAGGTAATTTGTTCTTGGGAGGAAGACCACAGAAGCAAAGTGCCTTCCTCATCACATCACATCAGTAGTGCACATACCATCAATATGACTTGTCACTGTGTCAACTCTTGTCATTTGCTTTCCCACTGCTACTCTCTTTGTCCCCTTTTTATATCATAAACTTTAAAAGAAAGACACCCTGTGAAACCCACACTGAAAAAGTAGGACAAACATGCCATCCACTGACAGGTGGATCATCCATTATTTAGATTTCTTTTGCACAGGAACTTTGCTTATTATTTATTTAATCATTTATATAAGTACAGATTTGGGTATGTTTATTTTATGCTTTGCTTTATAATCTAATACATCTTTTTTTTTTTAAACCATTGCTTAGTTTTGGCCATAGGGAAGTCTTTCTGTTGGTGTTTGTATTCATTTGACATCCTTTTGTGGATTTTGATTTGCTTGCTTGTTTAGTTCCATTTTTGAGTATTTAACTTCTGGCCCTACAAGATGTTGCAGAATCATGTGGTATATTTCCTACCCAAATCTTCCAATCAGGCATTTTTCTGAGGAGCCCTACCTAGTTAAATTATTGAACAATGGTGTTAGAAACAGACCTGGGTGTTTGGTGTGCTAATTGCTACTGGAGTGTCGCTGGTTCTATGCCTCAGCTAACAAAGCAAGGAGATAAATTTATGTGTGTGTTATGTATATATGTAACTATATGATCTTGAGCTAAGTGTAAGATTTTTCTGTTATCCCCATTACTAGTCATACTAGCTTCTTCTCTTACCTGTAACCTCTCTATGCAATTTTGAGAATCCTGGCTCTAACCACGTACCATCCATTTATTTAATTGCTTAATTCTAGTAAATATATGTAGTGGTGCTAGAATTGTTATCCTCTATCCATGTGGGAAACAACTTTATCAACTAGAGTACAATGCTTATTTATAGTTCCCGTTACATTTAATTTTACACGCTCTACTTTTTTCATAAGTTCCTTTTTCAAAGTATTTATTTATTCATTTAATGATACAGTTCCATAGGCTCAGGGATTTTTCCTACCCCCCTCATCAATTCCTCTCCTCCCGTTGATTTGCCCTATATATAGAGTCCTTCAAAACCATCATTTCCTAAGTTTCTCAGGTCAGCATCTTATTCCCCCATACCCTTCAGTTACGTTGTTTGTAGTACATTTAGATTTTTGTCACATCTCTATACATTAAGATTTATGTTTTAAACTATAAAGTTCTGTGGTTTTCAGTTAATGGCTAATGTCTTATATTCATTGATACAGTATTAAACAGCCTTTTCTGAAACATCTTCTATTTTCAACTTTCTTCACAACCACTGCCAACACCTGACATTGATTAGCCTCTTCAATTTTTTTTCCAAAATGTTGTATAACTGGCATTTCACAGGATAGAGCATTTCTGCCCTCATGACTGGCTTCTTTCCCTTAGCAATATACATTTGAGTCGTGCCTTTTGTGGGTCCAGCTCTTTCTATCAGTGAAAAACATTCGCCTTGTGAATGTTTACCCATGCCATCTTGATTGCTTTCAGTTTGGGGCAATTACAAAGAAATCTGCTATAAATGTTTGCCTGCAGATTTTTAATTCAGCTAGATAAGTCTTTATGTAAGTAGGAAAATTATCAATGGGTCATGTGGTAAGACAATGTTTAGTTTTGTAAGAAACTGCCAGACCTTGGGCCCAGCGTGATAGCGTAGTGATTAAAGTCCTTGCCTTGCACACACCAGGATCCCATATGGGTGCCGGTTCTAATTATGGCGGCCCTGCTTCCCATCCAGCTCCCTGCTTGTGGCCTGGGACAGCAGTTAAGGACAGCCCAAAGCCTTGGGACCCTGGACCCATTGGGGGAGACCTAGAAGAGTTCCTGGCTTCAGATTGGCTCAGCTCCAGCCGCGGCCACTTGGGGAGTGAACCATTGGATGGAAGATCTTATTTTCTGTCTCTCTCCTCTCTGTATATCTGACTTTGTAATAAAAACAAATAAATCTTAGAAAGAAAGAAAGAAAGAAAGAAAGAAAGAAAGAAAGAAAGAAAGAAAGAAAGAAAGAAAGAAAGAGAAAAGAAATTGCCAGACCATACTCCAAAGTGTCTGTACCACACCTTGTTCTCACAAGCAATAAATGAGAAGTTCTTTGCTCTGCCTCCTCACCATCAGCACATACTGTTGGCTTTGTTTTCTTTTTAGTGATTCTAATAAATATGTCACGGGGGGACGCTGCAGTCAGGGTCCAGAAATCAAGCCCAGGCATGCTGACCTCATCACGGACACCTGAACCACAAGCAGCTTTTGAAGACAGATGGCTAGGTTCTCCCTTCGGGATTTCTAGCCTAACTGGCCTGGACAGGACCTGAGTGTCTCCAAGTGCTGATCCTGCAGCTGGCTACACTTAGAAAACCACTGATTTACACCATTATAGACTTTCTCTGTTGTTGCCTGATTTGAGTATGTATAAAAAATTAAGATAGCTGTACTTGGTGAGAAGCTGAAATAGGCCTTTAAAAATGTGGTGAAGAGAAGTTTGACCAAAAATCTTCAGAGATTTTTGAAATCACTAAAACTCTATCTATGCATCAAATGGCAATATTTGGAACCCATTGAGAGAAATAAAGTATGATCTGCACAACAAGCTGCAACAGTGTGATCTGTAAATTTTACTATTAGTTGGATCTTTTTTTTTTTAAGATTTATTTTTAATGGAAAGTTAAATATACAGAGAGGAGAGACAGAGGAAGATCTTCCATCCGATGTTTTCACTCTCCAAGCAGCTGCAACAGCCAGAGTTGCACCCATCTGAACCCAGAGACCAGAGCCTCTTCTGGGTCTCCCACATGGGTGCAAGGTCCCAAGGCTTTGGGCCGTCCTCAACTGCTTTCCCAGGCCACAAGCAGGAAGCTAGATGGGAAGCAGGGCTGCTGGGATTATAACCGGCACCCATATGGGATCCTGGCACTTGCAAGGCAAGGACTTTAGTTGCTAGGCTACAGTGCTGGGCCTGTTAGTTGGATCTTAACTCAAGTATATATTCACTTTTTATTGGGTAGATTGGCAAAATGTCATTGACAATGTTAATGTTTAATTACAAAGAAGAATTTTGTTTTCTACTGCAAGAGTAAATATAATCAGATAGTACAGTCACACATCACTTAATATCAGGGATTATGCTGAGACTGCATCATTCATCAATTTTATCATTGTCTGACAGAATGAAACCTAGGTGTAGGTCAATTACTTAAAACAGCTCTTGATACAGTCAAGATAAAGTAAGCATGATACGTGCAAGGCTACTGCCAGGGTGACATGACACATTATCTTACAGTAAACTTTTTAAAAATAAGTAGAAGGAATGTAGTCTAAAATAATAATAAAAGCACAGTATAGCAAGTACAAAAGCATGCAATATTTTTTTTCCTAGCTGCATGCCATGCATAATTGTCTTGCTCTACTTTTGTATCACTGGCAGCACAGGGGGTTGGTTTACACCAATATCACCACAGCCTGGTGAGTAATATGCAGTGCTGCAGCATCACGGTGGCCAGTGTCGCTTCATGGTCATCTTTAGGGGCCACCAGCCTATGCATGTACAGGACTTACTATTATTCTGTGCCAAAATAAGTGGATCCTTTTTTTTTCAGATGTATTTTATCAGAAAGGCAGATTTACAAAGAAAAAGAGATACAGAGAGAAAGATCTTCCGTCCGCTGGTTCACTCCCCCCAAATGGCCGCAACAGCCAGAGCTGAGCCAATCTGAAGCCAGGAGCTTCTTTCAGGGCTCCCAGATGAGTGCGGAGACCCAGGATTTGGGGCTGTCCTCTGCTGCTTTCCCAGGATGAGCATGGAGCTGGGTAGGAAATGGAGCAGCCAGGACAGGAACTAATGCCAATATGGGATTCCAGTGCTTGCAAGAGGAGGATTCAGTCACTAGGTCATCATGGCAAACACAGCTGATCTGTTTTAAATATTTATTTATCTGCGAGGTAGAGTGAGAGAGAGAGAAGGAGAGACAGAGAGAGGTCTTGCCACCTACTGATTCATGCCACAAATGACCACAGTGGTAGGGGCTGATCCAGAACAAAGC